AACCATTTTTTTCAAATGATAGCTCTAATCTTCCTCTATAAAACCGTATATTTCGATGAATTGTCTATGTAAGTATTTATATACATATCGTCGATTTACAGAGAGATGTCGAAACTTTTCGATCACCATTTAGTATAATAAAGCTAAAGAAGGTATGTAAGTTCCACACTTTGGCCCCTTAAGGCGCCACACTGACAAGAACTGATAAGTGTATTAACAGATTATACTCTTTTTGAGGTATTTGACAAGTATGAAAACCCATGAAATGGGATGAGGCGCGAAGTTTTATAGAACGAAAAATGTTCTCATACATTAACCATCCCATGGGTTTTCACACTTGTCAAGTATCTCAAAAAAGTACAATTTCTTAATACACTTATTAGTTTTCTTAACCACTAAAAGAGTAGAAAAAAATTAGATTTCTTCCTTGTCAGTTCCGCTGGAGTAAACGAGAACAACATCTACATAAAAAAGTTGTGTTGTTGTTTGAAAAAATGACTATATGTGAAAGGAGTTTGTCCCATCCCACGCGGAGCCCTGATATCGATATAGTAACATGAATAACAGAAGAGAGGAAAAGCACAAGAGAGATGAGATAACATACTACTATCTAACACTCTCATTCTCCTCCTTCTTTGTTCTTCTCGCCGTGCATTTAAAAAACCCGCAGAATCATCAATCCTTCGAAGGTTTATGAGTAGAAGGATTTGTGATAGTAAGGGTATATGAAAATGGAAAGAATATCTGACGCCTTTTAAACGGATTTTTCTTTAATATGCTTAACGACAAAATTTATTATAATATAAACAAGGGTAGATTAATCTACGGTTTTAGTCAAGCATTTCTTATTCTACGATCAAAGCTTAATTGATCTATACTATAACAATAAATCGTAGAATAATCTACCTCTGCCTTTAGAGAAAAAATGCATTTTCTTTTGAACGGTTTATGGGGATATTATGAATTCTTCGAGGGATTACGAGCGAAAAGCTTTATGACAGTAGGGATATACGAAAATGAGAAGAGTATATTATTCTATGGTTTCATCAAAAGTGTTCATGAGTTCACGGGTCAACGTAGATTAATCCACGATTTTACCAAAAGAGTTTAATGTTCTAAAATCGAGCGAAAATTAATATACGGTGTCACCCGAAGGATTTGTAATTCTATGCCACAGGGTAGATTCGTCTTCGGATTCAGGATGCTACAAAAAATTTTGTTATTCTACAACAAAGGATAGATTATTCTACGCTCAAAGCTTTATTGCCCAAGTAGCCTTCATTTTTAGGTCCCTTGCGACAGCGTTCATGAAAAGACCGAGTAGTGTCAATATAAGAGGCACTCGATGATAAAAAAATTTCCTTTTTTTCGTGTACTCAATGCATTGATATCTGAAACACACAAATCCCAAAATTTAGCTTTCGATAATCTTGCTTTGAAAAAAATAGTCAATACTGTCTTTTACCACTATCATATTCTTATGGAAAAAGCTAACAAAAAAATACTCTGTAAAATTTGCGTTCATTTCCCTTTTAATATAATATAATGCCGATCGACTCAAGTTTTATAAGGTCAACATGAGTGAAAAATGATTCTTTCGATCAGTCTAAAGTGTTCACTTCATAACAATGTATCCCCTGCTAGGATTCGTAATTAGAGAACGTGCAACTGATTTTTCTATATCTTATGCGACTTTTTATTTTCTACAAAATGTTTAGAAGAATATGCAAAAATAAATGATATTTTCCGAGTGAAATAGGGTTTACATCTCTCTCCTATATAATGGTTCGTCAATAGGAAAAAAACATGTTTTGCGCTTTCGATTAAATGCTTTTTTCGACGTTGATTCCAAATATCGTCTGTAGTTTGCTTTAAAATTGCTTCATGACAATCGACACCGCAAAGAAGATTCTTTTTCTGTTGCAGAACCATTACAGTCCATGAAAATTGAGAGTATACCTTTTGATTTTCTTTCTTTTTATTTTATGTACAAATAATAAATTAATAGAGTATGCATGAATACGTAGTGTACGATTTTGTGCTAATAGATCGGGCATACATAGATAGCTCACAGCTGTGGTTGAGCTAGATTTAAAGAAATGTACGTCTTTATGAACAAACCGATTTGCATCTGCGCCTTTCTTTTGTTTTGGTATCATTTATATTTCATTAACGTTTTCTGTTATCATATATAACACTTTAACATGCCCGAACATGATACATATACACAAGAATTCAAGTAAGATATGTGTCGTATACTATCGACGCAAATCAATGTGGGTTTGGTTTTAAATCATTAGCTACAAAGTGTAAAATACGTGATGATGTCGGGTATGGTTGTGGATGGGCGAAGCAAAGACCAACACCGAAACCACGACTCACACCCATATCCTTGATATTAAAAATCATCAATACTAAGAACTATCAAAATACAGACATATAAAGTTCATGCAAATTTTTGTAAAGATAACAAGATTGTTCTTTGTATTGATTATATATTTTCTGTTTTCAAACTTCGTTATCTATTGCTTATATTTATACTGCATATAATAGTACAGTATACTCTATTTATACGTGTACATGTATAGTTTCAATTTTCGTGGGCTGTATATTGGTTGTTATAACGAGAACAACGGATTGTAGTCTCACAAATTTGTGATTCTAGAGTGAATCGAGTCAAATTGGTAGATACCATTTTTAGACAGATTTTCGTATCTGATCTTGCGCAATTATGCAAGATTCTTATTTGTGTTATCTTATGTGTTTCGTTGGTGATTGATATTATCTGGTCTTATATAATCAAGTTGGGATGATAATAGCGGTGCTTATACGGTTTATATCTTCTGATTCTTGTAATATTTCTGTCTGAGTTGTACAATAAGAATTATTCAAAGTTTTGGAGTAATGTTTAAGATATGTTCTTATGAAAAATTTTGCATCTGTATGGTCTGACAAGACTGTATTCGACTTAATATTCGAGTTTTTGACCTGAGTAGCCATTGAGAATTCATTTTAAGGAGTTGATTAGAATTATTTCTAATTGCTTACCTTTCGCTTCATTTCATAATTCTCATCATCTTTGAATACCTATTGCAAGAAATCAATTCAAGTAATTTCGTTCTCTCCATTGTCTTCAAGGATATGTTAAGAAAATTAGATTGAACTTGTTTAGTTGTCAATCCATTTCTGATTAGCTATGCTTCAATTGCTGACATTACCAACCGAGAATTCCATTAATCATCAAACTTCAGAAACACTGGCGATGCTCAATAACAGTTTCGTTCAGCCTCTCATAAACCTGAAAGCTCATCGCTGAAGATTATGAAGTCTTACATATAAATAATGATCATGTGCTCTTAGTAACGGTGAAAAACTATTAATGATTCTCGTATATATCTTTCATCAACATGTGAGGCCGTTAGTAATGGCGGCGAACCCCTCTATTCAGTCTTTCATCAACTCCTCAATGTGATTAATGTTGCTGTTAAACCACTTCATATATCTTATCATAAACCTTTTAGGAGCTTGCTGAGATCAGTAATCCCTGTCACATGCCTTATCATAAACCTTTTTACGGAATTAATGAAGTCAGTAATCCCAATCATATATCTTATCATAATCTTTTCAGGCGATTGATGACGTCGATACTCTTCTCCATATATCTTATTATAAACCTTTTAGGTAATTGATGAGGTCAACAATCTCCTTCGTATACTTTTTAATATAGTCTATAGACCATTTAGGATGGTCATAAACGCTTCCAAATATCCGTTCTAAATGAGATGATCGGGTATAGTGTTTTCATCAACCTTTTCAGAAAGAGTTTAAAAGATTATTTGAAGAGGCTTATGATGTTCATGTACCCTCACGAGAGGTTAACCTACATTTTAATTTACTTTTCTTCTTACTAAATCGTTTTACACTAAGTTGCTTGTGAACGAGTCATGACACAATAAACTTTAATTTAAAAACGATAAGAACAGTGACTATATCAATTTATTCGTTTGCTATGACGTAGTCACAAATTCAACTCTTATTCAATCAATTCGGTTTTTGATTGCTCTTGGAGCTTTCTGAGAACACAGTTTTCTTTGTCCAGATAAACATAAGCCATATGTATTTATTTTCATATTTGCTTGATGCGCAATGCTTTGTTGGTGTTTGCTACGTCTACTGAAGACGAATGTAAAGCGTATAATTGAAAGTCATCAATGAAAAACCGATATTATGATCAATCAAGATAATGCACAAATATTTTAACTCCTGATGATGTTTCAGGATCTGAGTAATTCCGTAGTATGTATATTCTCTAATCAAATACTGTATATCCTCTATATAATTCAATAATATGAAAATATACCTTTTTTAATGAAATAATCGAACGTTTCTTCTTTTTTGTTCGCTCATCTAGTAATATCGGATTATTCGATTGCATCATCGACTTATAGGATCATTGGTATTCGAAGAATATTGATTACTCTATTCTGTGAAATTGATCATGCAGGTTTTCTGTTTCGAAGAAATTGTTATAGCTAAGCTTGCTTATTTCGTACAAAGATTTTTCCAACATGGTTTTAATCTTTATTCAATAAGTACGATGATTGAATTCGATGTCGTCATAAATCTGTATGAGTCAATGCTAAACAAAAGCACTACTTCCTCATGATAATATTTTGAAGATCATTGATACTGCCATTTTACCATTGACGACTAGCACGGCAATGAGTGTTTATGACAAACAAGTAAATATTGATTAAAATAAAATCCATAGAAATGACTCAAAGAAAACGATTCAGAGTAATCATATCTATAAATATCCCCTGTGCGCAATGATCAAACAATACCGTATGCATTCCATGATACTTGCTCGATTGTTTTTTTTACTGATCTTCATAGCTGAATGTATTTTCAGCCAAGAATATGCTGATTCTCTCTCAGGAGGCAGCTGGCAAATTGTACTTCCACAAAGTGGTGGCGGTGCGCGTGGGAAAAGTCTAGGTATGCAAACTGTCCATGCGGCGCTTCTTCCTTCTGGTCGCATTCTTCTGGCTAGTGGAAGTAGTTGGCGAAACCGTGGTCCCATTGAAACTTATCCGCAAATGAATGATCCTCAAGGTGGTCAAGGCATCTTTCGAGAAACAGAAGATCCATTTCTTACCAATAAAATAGAAGACTACTACCAGCTTGTAAATAATGCTGGGATCTATGATCCAAGCAAAAATACGTTCTATCGCATTCCACATCCGGAGCCCGTTCCCGATCCGAAATGGCCAGGACATTTCGCACCAAATGATCTCTTTTGTACAGGCCACTTGCATGTTCCTGACGGCAATGTACTATTTGTCGGTGGCACACAATACTATCATCCGTTTCGAACAGGCCACCGAGCAACATACCTGTTCGATTGGCGAAAAGAGGTTCAAATTCGGTGGAACAACATCGATTGGAGACGTATGCCCAGTGTTGCGTTTTCAAATGATTCGATGAATCCGTGGATTTTTGCTGGTACGTGATTTTCAGCTAACACTTATATGAATGTTATGTTCATAGTGACGACAAGATTAGCACTGAACGAATGTTGATCATTTCTTTTCCTTTACGAAGGTTTGATGGAACGAGGCAGATGGTATGCCTCTCTGGTACCATTGATTGATGGTCGCCTAGCTGTAATTGCCGGTTTTGTTGGCTTTGACACAGGCTATCCAGCGATGAACACATTCGAAAACAATGATCTCGTTGAATTTTTCGATGCCATAATGTTCAATGAATCGAATCCACAGAGTGCCTGGAAAAAAGTTGACGTGAAATCGATCATCAACGGACCTTTTACCAATCTAATCAATCCTACTTTTCGATCGACACCAGGTGTGAATTGTACGAGTCGTTGTATCAGAGACAATCAATATGATGTATTCAAACTGTACGAACAAGCCTATTTGACAGCGCAAGGCCGCATCTATTTGACTCGTGAAGGTGATTTTGTCAGTGCGAGAACTCACGATACTGCTTTCATGCGAAAGACAACAGCTACCTATCATATGCATGTTAGCGGGTCTCGTTATGCACCTAAAGTATCATTTTCGCCAGGACCCAATCGATCTGACAATGCCTCATCATACCGAACGACAATTCTCGATCCAAATAGTAATCGGATTACTCTTTTCGGTGGACAACCGACATCAGCCGGTACTTTTCTTTATCAATCGGGTACTAGTCAAGGTAATAAAAATCATTAAAATAAAGTGATGATTATAATTGTTGCCTTCGTTATTGTAGGAAACCAACGTTTCGCTGGCGGTCGTGGAAGTCGTAAACTAGAACAATTTCATGGTTCGATTTATGAATCGAATGGTGGCCACTGGACCTTAGAACCATTTTTTCTTGGTGAACATCCACAGGATGATCGAACCATGCACTATGCACTCCTACTTTCTACCTCGCAAGTTCTCATCATCAATGGCGCAAACTATGACTTTTACGGATCAATTCATTATCCGATTTTATTAACACCACAATTTGATAAAGTCAGTGGTGCATTTCTCGGCTACACTAAGAAGCGCATGAACGAAGGTGTTGAAGCTCGTCTTTATCATAATGTCGCTCTACTATTACCGGATGGTCGTGTGTGCATTTCTGGTGGAGGATCAGCTCGTGCTACAATTCATTATACGCCCTTAGCCGAAAAACCTCTTTCTGAATATAATACTAGTTCATATAAACAACCATTGCCTGACACTTCCAATATTGACTTAAACGTAGAAATGTTCGACGATGGCCGATTGGCGAAAAATTCACGTGGTTCCCTCAGTGTTCCTACTGAAACATGGGTAGCAGAAATTTTCAGTCCTCCGTATCTGTTCATCGACGGCAAACGATGATCAGTGATCGTTTCATTGAGTCATCCTCATCTAGTGGATTATCAATTTGAGAGCGTCATCGATGGGAAACGCTACTATTTACTTCGCAGCAATTCACAATACATTGTGAATCTAAACCATCTACCAACGCAATGTGAAAATAGAACGAAAGAAAAGTTGGTTATGATCAAACTAGGATCAGCCACACACGGGTGGGATGCTGGACAACGTCTCATCAATCTTCCATTTACAAGAGTGGCATCGACATCGGCTCTTCTATTGACAACACTTGATGCAAAAATAGCACTCATTGCACCTGCATTCTACATGATGTTCTATGTGGACTGTATGGGAAAACCGTCGATTTCACAGATAATACGATTCGATGACCAAGCTACACAGCCATAGACAGAACTTGTTTTTAAGACAAAGTGAATCGAGTTTTTTTTAAGAATAAACAAATTGTCTCGCCACTGACGCACCATCAAGTTACAAACTATTCTTAAAAGTAGAAGCTGCAAAATGAGTGAGCAACCGACAAGAATATTTCACATTAGACACATCATCTACCTATTCTCTCAATGTATGAACGAAATGAGTCAGTCTGATCGTACGATGGATCAAAGAATCGTATCGGATAATTAGCGAATGTTGTCAAAGGAAAAAATACTTTGTGAATCAGGAATTGAAATTATGGACTCGAATAGTGAATCTGATTTGATAAAGACAAAAACAAACGGCAATCTAAGTATCTCTTGAATTTTTATGACTCTTGATATCAATATCGACGTTACCAATTCTCGTTTAACATACACCGTGTTGTGTGGCACTGACTCTGAAGACACGCGAAAAGTTTGAAACAATGTTTAACTGATAAAATGAGTTGGCATATGTGGTGAATTATTTTCTCAGATTTAGAACTTTGGAGACAATATTATTGAATTCAGCTCCTACTCAAAGTTGATTCTCGTTCATTTCTGTATGAAAAGTAACTAACCGATCTTGGCCATGATTGATCGACATGTTCAAATGGGTACTTATTATTTGTGAAGATGAATAGAAACCAAGCTTAAATAAAATAAAACTGTTTTAAATGTTCAGTTGATTATGAAGTTGACACTTTTATTAGTTCTCTGTAAAACGAAGAAATTTGATGGTTAAAATTTAAAGATTTGATTAATGAGAGCATATATATTCTAAGAAAAGTTACTGCCATATATGGAGGACATAAGAGAAGAATAAGGGTGATATGTAGAAAGCTATGTAAGATATACAGAAAGAGTTTCTTATTTATTTATAGTAATTAGCAAGTGTTATATAAGATAGAAATTGTATGAATATGATAACTGGTCTTAAAAGTAACCTAAGTCTTAAAGTCTGATATCATTATTGGTTAGGCCTGCCTGAATTTTGTGAAAGAGATCTAAATATTTTGGATTGATACTGAGTTGTTGAATTTTGTTTTCCTTAATGATAAAGTGATACTCATGATACACGAGTAAGGTTCATCGATTTGCACTTAGCGATGATGGACTTCAATCGAAGCCAAAATAGGATTTTCAAGAAGTTTTATCATAATTTATAATGACAATTGTTAGCGTTCTCTCTTCTCTCTATGTGTGGTTCGATAGAGATATATATATTCGTATGTCCTTGATGTACGTGGACTACTTTATTTCGTAAGGAAAAATAACAACTGTTTTTTATAACGATATAAAAGAATACATATATCATGAGAAGAACGAGAAGAACGAAAAGAACGAATACAAGATCAAAGAGAGAACGAAAGAGCGTAGAGGATAACACTAATATAGAGAATGTGTATACAGGCGACATCACTGTAACATACTCCCATATTGGACGAAAAAATGTGTCCTATCTACATTTTTGGAATGTATAACAATAGAGATAATAAACAAGTGACTAGAAATGAACAGTAATAAATGAAAAAAATAAATAACGAACATGTATGTATGAAAAATGGTATTTTCTTTTAAATCAAGTTCAAATTTAAATGAAACAAAACATAGTTTTAGATATAAAGAAATAATAGAAAAAAGAAAAAAAAATATAACGATTTTTTTATATAACGGTTAACGATAAACGAATAACATGAGATAAAGTACAATAAGGTACAATAGAAAATTGTTTAGACATAGACAGTAGCGAAATACAAAACGATTTTATAAATGTATGTTAGTTCATTATTTCGATTTAGTTGTTAGATGTGCGTTCGTTTGTTGATTCGATCTTGTTCATCATGAAGTAAACGTTTATATTGAATTAATGAAATGATCATTTTTTTCGTTTGTGTGTAGTTTTAATAATGTCATGATGATAATGATTATCCTTGTGACGATCATCTTTACAAGATGATCTGAATTGTCGTGATTGATACTGTAAATCATTATAATGGTCACTTGTAAATAATTTTCTTGTTTGATGTTCATATTTAGATAGATGTTGTTTATCTTTAATGCCAATATATAAGGATGTTCGATTAGTTAATTTTGATGTTGAAACATTTATTATACTAAAGTCAATTTTAAGTTCGCGAAGAACTGTTTTGATTTGCGTTATCGTAAATCTACGATCAATCCCTCGTCGGATAATTTCGCATTTATATAATTTCGTTCGTTGTTTTAAAGTACAACTTCGGTTATGAATTCGACGTTTTGCTTCATCGCTAATATCTGCACGTTTGTGTTGAATTTCATTATTGAAAATTTCATTTATAGTTGTCAATGTTTGTTGTCCTTGTTCTTGTTCAGGTTTATCATCATCGAATGAAATCAATTCTATTTCGGGATGTTGTTGTAGAATTATATTCGATTCATTAGTTGATTTAAGATTTTCATTCGGTGATGCTATTAAATCAATTGGTTCTGATGTATCAGAGTACATTGAAATATCATTATCTGATTGAACTAATAATTCATGTGATTGTTGTTCAGGTTCAATTAGGTTCATGCTAATAATAATTTGATGCATTGCTAGACAATCATTAATAGCATATGTAGTCATTATTTGTCGATAATTTAATTCTTCAGAATTTAAATGAATTAATGTAGGATCTAGTCCTATGTCGAATGGTGAGCGGGTATGACGTTTGTCGAGCCATTGGTTAAGTTGATATGCTACAGCATCTTGTAGTGACCATGGATTATTTTGGTGAATACCCAAACATCTCTCACAGATACAATTTAAATTATTATTAGTTGATGATAATGTTGGTTGATGAGGATGGTGTTCGTTCCAGTACTTTTTGAAATCATTTTGTAAATTCATATCATTTGCCAACTGGATTTGATCAGATGAAAATAAATTAAATTCAATAAATTTTTTTAGTTCATCAATTGATCCCCATACATAAATATTTTTATTTGAATTGAATAATTTACTAAATATTTGTTGAATCAATGGAAATGTTGGTTGATGTATACGTGGTAGTTGACGAACTTCGATTAATATAACATATGAAAATGTATTTGACAAAATTATTTGAAGCTGAATCAGTGCTGGTTTGTTTGGTCGTTTGTGTATACATATTGATTCAGTATCTAATGTAAATAAATTTGAAAGATCTATTTTGTCAATGAGATGAAATAATGTTTGTTCTGTGGTTTTGTAATTAATAAAAAATAGTTTATAATCTAATGGTTGAAATGGTGGATAACGAGATGCAAGATCATGTTCGTGAATTTTTTTCCGGTAAATTGCTCGAAGATTTTGACGTGTTGGTCCGGTAATACTTGAAGGCATATTGTTTAATTTCCATACAGCGTCCTGATATTCTTGTTCGGACAACATTACTATAACGAAAAGAGAATAATTAATTAATGTCGATTCACTTAACAGTGGATCTATAAAGCATAATTTATCAATTCACGTATCTAGCAGAAATTTACGAAAAAACATAGGAACCATGAATTTTGATGTTAAAACCGAGAGAAATAAATAAATAATTTTTTTTATATAGATATATATATATTAATGCCAAAAGAAATTACGAAATATCGTTTCTTTTACGATTCTCAGTGCCATGGGTGAGAGTCTGTCAAGAATAATTGAACATTAATTATATTCAATAATTTTGATTTTCGTATAATAGAATAAAAATATATTAATAGATATGGGACGACTTAAATATGATAGCCCTTCAAAATCAGTGAGTGGAGGAAAGTCACACTCCCCGGTCGTGCTATGCTAAATCATATCTTGGTAGGTTAATCTAAGAATAGATAATTATTCCAGTTAATTTGACGTAGTGATTAAATAATATCATTTTAATATCTTTTCTTTTTTTTTTTTCTTTTTTGAACGGATCTCTTTATTAGAGAGGTCCTGTTATTGATAAATTCGTTGAAAAATTGGAAGTAACACGTCGGTTGTAACTTGTCGATGTAATGTTGGTTTCTTGACGTGTTGTACAATAAATGTTTTTGGTGCAATCTTTTCAATAATTCGGAATGGTCCTTCGTAACGAATATCAAATTTGTAATGTATGTTGAGTGTTTTGACAAGAACTAAGTCACCGATGTTGTAGGTTGGATCAGAGCGATTTACATCATAACGTTGTTTATATCGTTCTTGATTCTTAATAATATTAATTTTTGCTTGTTCGTTTAACTTGGATAAAAATTGATTAAGTTTTTTTGCATGTTCAGAATCGTATGAAATGTTAACATTTGTATCTTGATGATCAAATGGTAAAACAGGAGATCTACCATACATTATTTCGAAAGGTATTTGCTTGGTTGAAGAATGAATTGTAGCATTGTAATTAAATGTTACGAATGGAAGTTGATTATCCCAGTCGGTTTTACATAAATTGGATAAAGCTGCGATCTTCGCATCCATTGTTGAATTGTATCGTTCAACTTGTCCATTTGTTTGAGGATGATATGGTGTTGAATATAGATGCGTTGTTCCAATTTGTTTAAATAATTCATTCGTCATTGTTGATGTAAAATGCGTTCCATTGTCAGTAAGAATACAACGAGGTGTACCAAATTTTGAAATAACATCTTCTTTGAGAAATCGAACAGTTGTTTGAGCAGTATTATCTCGTACAGCTTTTGTAACGACGAATTTTGATAATACATCTGTCAGAGATATAATATATTTATTTCCACGTTGAGATGTTGGAGTGATAGGTCCATGGAAATCCATAGATACTAATTGCCATACTCCATCAGGAGGTTTAATTGGTCGTAATGTACCATGACTTTTTTGTCGACGAGGATTATATTGAGCGCATAATATACATGATTTGACATAATTATCAATATCTTTATACATTGAAGGCCAAAAATAACGTGTTTTAATTTTATGTAACGTTTTATCTCTTCCAAAATGAGCACCATTTGCTGCGGTATCATGATATATGCTTAAAATTGTTTGTCGTATATCACCTCGTGGTACATAAGGAACTGGAGGATTTAATCGACGCATTAAAAGATTTTCTTTTATAATATAATTTTTATATTTCTTGATATTGTTCAGAATATTTTTCGCATAACTATCATCTTGTTGAGCTTGTATTAATTGTTCCATTGAAAATGGAATTATTCGATTCTCTTCAACAGAAGTATTTAGAGAATCTGATGTTAATTTTTTATTATTATTTGTATCATTTAAAATTTTATTTCGTAATTTCATAGCACGAGTTTCAACAGCTGCGATGATAGGTGAATGGGTGTTATTAAATAAAATATCTGTTTGTGTTGATGCTGAAATTAGATGCGTAGTTTCATCAGGATCGTCTTCACCATCGTCAACTGGAGATCTTGATAAATAATAAGGCATTAAATTTGTTAAACCAGGAATGTATTTAACCTTGAAATCATATTCTAAAATTTTTAATCTCCATCGTTCGCATCGTTTATTAATTTGAGCTTTTTGATTTAATTGTGTTAATGCTTTATGATCAGTTTTCCATATAAATTTAATTCCACTTAAATAATTATGCCATTTGTCTAATGCACANTGTTTTGAATGGCAAGCTAGTAAAGGAATTGTGCCGGTCTACCGGCCGGGCCGGTCCGGTCCGGCCTGACCCTTTAGACCGGTGCCGGTACCGGTAAGGAAAAAACCCTACCGGTTCCATCTATGCTGTGGTGCAAGAAGCACAAAATTACATTAAAATAGTAATGCAACAAATGAAATAGTAATCTTTCTGTGATAAAATGAAGAGTATTATCTAAACCATTATGGAGGATAATAATCTGATGATATAGGATGAATTAATATTTCATGAGATTGAACATGACATTTGGCTGAAAAGAACACTTCCTTTTATTATACTTTGTGTGATTGTTATAGTGTGATTTCTTTGCATTTTTCATTTTGCTGTCTCACCCTACACCGCAAGGTAAATGGGTATATCTATCTATCTTGTCGAAAGTTTTCTTTACTAATTTCAGTTTTTGCTGAAACATTCTAAGATACAAATGTTGCATAAGACGTATGATCCCCAAACCATGTACTATCATAAGGACTCTAAATATCGAATCAATCATAACAAGCTTGAAGTGAATAGATAGCTATATTAAGATCACTAAACGAAAGAAAAAAAGCATTTGTTCAGAGCTAGGCAAGTACAGACTTTTTCGAGTACGAATACGAGTACTAATCCTCCGAAAACACGTTAAAAATCGGTCAGCATGATCCCTTCAGAATTAAAATACGAATCACGATGTAGTTACTCGTGTTATTCAGAAAGAATTTGTTTTAATCTATTTATTTTGCTGCTCCTTTACCACCCATGCTTTTACTTATTTCTCTTGCAGTGGAATCAAAAAGTAGTTCTTATATTATGATATGGTATTCTTGATGTACAGTCTTTGATCATGTGTCACGGTCTGCGATGGGATTCCAAGGTGTGTATCATGTTTACCAAGGCATTATTAATCAGTTATTGATGAAATATGAATGAGCCATTCATTAAATATTAGTTAATTAAGTAGTCAGTTAATTAATTAAAATATCTGTCGCAACAATTAGGCAGAGAGTATCGAGGGAGTGCGTCATAGATAGAGCCGGTCTAGAGTTTTGACGACTCGTATCGCCACGAATCTTAAACTTTTAGACCCGATAGGATCGGTTGGTCTACAGGTAATAAACCGATCGACCGATATATGCTGGTGTACATGTAATAGATCAATTCTTACAATAAAATTTTGCTTCTATAGTGAACTCTCACAAGTTATTAATCCAGATCGCGAATCTGAAATATCTGAGCAATTGTTTGGTAATATTCAATATATAGTTTTCTATTAAAAAATAATAGTGATCGAAACATCAATGTATTATATTTCATTTCATCACATGGTCACAAGGAACTTGATTATTTTCAACACTTTAGCCTTAAAAAATTGTACCATTTGGTAAAGCAGCATTTAACCGTACACTGCTCTGCGGTTCGTAACAGTTCCATCTGTGGAGTATATTCAACTTTCTACCTTTTAAACCTCAGTACTCCTTTCAGGTTGTGTTTCACAAAAAAGAGTAGAAAAATACGCCTTTGCTCTAAGAACAACTTTTCATAAACCTTGATCTGGGTTTTCTGAAAATGTTAACAATAGAAACAACAACGACAAACCGAAAGTTGTTCAAAATTACAGATTTTATTTAATATAAAACGGAGAAAGAAAAAAAGATCGATGGATTACATCAACACCAATCTGATATATAGTATTGCTAATGGAGCATGAGTAAATTAACCAAGAGAAAAGTGAAAATAATATGGCAGCTATTCTAGAACTTTCTATCGTATGAATGCTCAAATGTATATTCGTATGGGTCAAAAAGAAGGTGTCAGCAGTAGGCCTTACTTTTGAATAATGCACAACAGGTTGAATTTTCCATAAAAAAAACTGTGCGTCTAAACTGTTAAATGTAAGAGTCTCGAGTATGTGTACGAGTACTTCGAGTATTTTGCTCAGCTCTAATGACATCATCATTTTTCTTTGCTTTTAATATTTAACATGAAGAAAATCTTTCTAAAATTATACGAGACACAAGCTCTATATGTATGATGAAGCAAGCTTTATTCCTAGATACAATTTGAGATTGTGAACTTTGGTTCGTGTCATAAGTCAACTATTCTCGTGCATGTTGAGAATCGAAATATCTATCAATTAAAGTCTTTGAAACTTTCAAAAAACAGCAATGCTTTCAATAATGTTTGATCTGTTCTGTTTACTACTGAAAAAACATTGTCGTTTTCTCTCATGTTCTCGATTTATTCATTCTGTTGGTTAGAAACAGTGTTGATATTATTGTAGGAACATAAAAATCGGTTATGTCAAGGAATATTACGATAAGCATTGATGTTCATACTAGTGAGACATTCATAACAAGTGATAATGATGGATGGAGGGTGTTGGTTTGAATTTCCATGCGCACTTCAACATGGTTTTCCTATTCGATCCGGATTACACATCATGTCACAATACAGGAACAGTCTGAATTAGATGACCATGATGGATATGCTTTATTTATAAAATCTTATGGTCGATTGCTTATTCTGGATGTGGCTGTTCATCCAAACTCACACCCACATCCATATAAATTGAACTCCATTAGACAAGTGTACCATATTCAAAATCGTTTTCTATTCTCTATTTGCGAAAAAATTAGTTTCGTGAAACCTATCGTTTTTATATGTCAAGTCACCTCTTGCATTTACCTAGTACTTTTCTTAAAGTACCTTTATATCTAAATGTATATCTCTATCTGTGTCTGCACAGTCATTCTGAAATTCCTTGAGCTTTTATTGTTTTCTTCTCATTTTTCTTTGATTTCAACTTGTTACACCGTAATCAAAGCAACCACAATCAATGCAAAAAAAGATCTTATATCCATACAAAATTTTGACTTTCAAGAACAATTTACCTACATATTTTTACTTGAAGATCATATTTATAATTTCATAACTTGTTTACAGAATTTCAATTTAATGCAACTATTGAAAAACAAATGAAATAAATAATTAAAAAAAATAAGCAAACACAAGAAGAAACACTTCTTTCGAATATCGAGATTATTTGTCGCTGTTTTTTTTACATTGAGTTTTTTCCAAAAAAAAAATAAAACAATTCATTTATTGTTATACATATATCATTTTTTATATCACCCCAGCGTTAAAACATAAAATTATGTATGTTATGGCAAATATATCGTAATGGACCTTTTGTATACAACAGACCAACTAAAATTCCCGCTAAATGACCTAAATTGAAAGAAAAAAAAACAAGTCATCATGAAAATAACTTAGAAAGCTGTGAGTGCAGTCTCTGCGGAATTAAAATATGAAACACAATATAGCTGCTGCTGCTGCTAATTACAAGGAAACTGTTTCATTCTATCTGTCTCACAACGTTTTCTTCACTATCATTTTACATAATCTTCCAGAAGTGCAAAATCTCTGTGCCGGAACAGGGCGGTAAATCTCTACCTATATAGTTCAATACTTTTTTTAGATTGTGGTTCACAAAAACAAGAATACACAATAAAATTTACCAAGAAATGAAACATTCGGTGTAATTAATTGAATAACAATAAGTTCAACCCATACAATATATTTTGTCGATATTGGAATAAAACCAAACAATGAATTTGAACTATAATTAGGTGTATAATGTGTTGTTATAACTTTTAATGCAAATATAACTGCACTAAAACCAATAGCACATGTAAATAAATATTCTGGATTATCAAATAAACTTGATACTAATTGGCCAAGTATAACAAGCATTAAACTTGATGAAATTGTTAATATTGTAACTAAAAGTGCAAAATATCGACTACCGAATAGAGTTTCAAGTTGTTGTCCTTTATATAAAAATGATGCCATATTATAATACAAATGCATATCATCACCATGAAAAAATGGAGCAAGTAAAATACGCATATAATCTCCTTGATCAAGTACAGCATGTGTACTAATACAAACAGATTGTAAATTACTTGATAAACCAAATAATGGAAATATATCAAAATAAATTAATACATTAATAATAATAATCGTAAGTGTTATTGGTGGTAAATGTGATGAACGACTTAATTCAGCAAGAAGAAGTAGAATGCCATAATAGGATCTATTTGTTTGATGATAATGAGTATGTCTTGAACGACTACCGAACATCTAGAAAATAAGAAAACTATGATACAAGGTGTCCAATAAATAGCTCTTTCATATTTTGTTCAAATGAGCTGATTTTTTAACCATTAATAAAGTACAGTTCATAGCTCATATTGATAATAAAAACGTTAAAGAGTACTGCTTGTAAGCATCGTTGTTGATTACTTCTCCATAATATTGCTGTCTAGTCTCAGATTTATACCACAGGTACATATCTTGTTACTTAGTGTATTCTCAAAGTTTCAGCCATAAACAGCGAGATTTTGTTGAGAAAAATGTAAATATGTCTCGGGTGAACTTGTCTCTAGTTGAAATCAATATTTGTTAGAATACTTGTGCAGCTACCCTTTCTATTTCAATTCGAATTATTGGCTGGTGGTTAGGTGTCTGAAATTCTCGTTTTTAAAGTAGCCCAACTAACAGTTAACCACTATCCAAGCATTCAAATTGAATAAAAAAATGACAGGATGACAAGCATTGCACGAAATTTTGATTTTAATCACACAAAAGTATATGAGGTAAATTTTCAGTTTTCTCAACAAATTCCAGCTATTTACGGATGAAACTTGGAGAATACAATAAATAACAAGATATGTATCTGCTGTACAAATATAATCTAAAATATTAGGTGTGTCCTTTATTTTTAGCCATAAAAATAAATAGATTATCTTTTTTCACGTGTGAAAGGTAAGAAGACAACAATGATGTTTCAAAACAGTACTTTTTAACGTTTTTATTATGAATACGAGCTACGAATTATGTTTTATCAGTGGTTAAAAAATCAGCCCATTTGACCAAAATATGAAGGAGATATTCAATTTTTTTCTTGTTCAGTGACTTATTGGACATCCCGTATATTCATTTGACAAAAAAAAACAAATGTTGTTTTCTGAAATGCAATCAAATGTAAAAAAAAGAAAATAACTATTGACAAGAAGAAGATATTGTTGATTTATTACGAAAAGACAATGTTGGTAATTGATCATCTGGTAGTAAACATAGATTAATTGCACGCATTCGATCGGCTAATTCAGTTAATGATTGATCAAGACGTTTTAAAGACGTTGCAACATCACGTAATTTTTTTGATTGTTCACAATAGGTATGAAAACGTTTTTGTTTATCAATAAGACGTTGTTGTACAGAATTTGAACGTGTATCAACTTCTTTCATTCGATTCATTATTTGTGTTTGTTCACTTTGAACAATTTCAGCACAAAAACGAAAATGAGTTTGTAAACGCATAGATAATTGTAAAAGCTAAAACAAAAGACTTAATCATAATAGATTAGTAATAGTTGATATTAACTTTAAAAAAAGAAGCTAACAGGTACACAGTAGAATTTCAATGAAAATTAATTTTTAATAAAACAGATGCTATTCAATGCAGTTCTGTATGATGATATGAAAGACCAGGGAAAGCGAAAACTGGTCGAACGAAAATTGGTCGTCGATAATTGGGTGATACGAAAATTGGTCGATGCGATAATTGGTCGACGCGAAAATTAGGCGATACGAAAATTGACCGAAGAGAAAGTTGGTCGAAATTTTTATTATAAAAAAAACGAAGACTTTTTATTAAACACAGGCGCTAGATCTTAAATGTAAAAGCAAAATTTACGCTAATTAAATTAGTCAAAAAAATACTAACATTTGAGATATCTAATAATTTAGACAAATAAGTTCGACAAATACAAAAAAAAAGGAATTGCAGTTTAGAAACTATGAGTGAGTTCTCCCGATTGCTATAATAAGGTTGCCTGCTTCGAGAATGTGTCTTCAACCTTGTCCTCATCCCTACACACACTTTCAAGACAGGGAACGTTACCACAACAAGTAGAGGATTTGCTCATAGTTTCTAAACTACAATTCCTTGTTTTTTTTTGTATTTGTCGAACTTATTTGTCTAAATTATTAGATATCTCAAATATTAGTATTTTTTTGATTAATTTAATTAGTGTAAATTTTGCTTTTACGCTCAAGATTTAGCGCCTGTGTTTAACAAAAAGCCTTCGTTTTTTTTTGTAATAAAAATTTCGACCAATTTTCGTAAACCCATATTAAGAAGAATTTCATTTGTCAAATTTTCTAATGTATTTATCATTTTATCTAGACAATTATTTCTATTTATATATATACTCTAGTTGAGAATTATTTTCGAAATATAATTTTTCAAACTCGTACAGGTAATCGACTTCACATTAGCAGTGAAAATATATCGGAAAAATGTTTCAAAATTAAATTTTATTTTTCACAACATCAGTCAAACATAAATAATCTCGTCAGATCGAAGTTTCCCTCGTATATAGCTTTAAAACAAAAAAAAACCTTGATTATATATTAAACCGTAATCTTCTCTTGATGAATCTGTTAAAATGAACCTATTTCCCGAAATATTCTGTGTTATGAATGACCTCATTACTGTGTTACATAAAAGAACAAAAATTTGCTATAACAACTACAGAACTGAATATCATACCTTCTACTACATTACGTACAATGAACCACGTTAAACATATGAAAAGTGCACAAAATATCTTCGTGATAGGATTTCGTCAGTACCGACTGTGTGCAGTACGAGTCTAGGAAGTTACACATCCTTCCAGCCTTAAGCCTGGCCAGTAGCGGACCCAATGTTTTACTTTTTGTCCGGTACGAGCTGGAATTCAACTCGAGAAACCTAGCTTGTATTGGGTTCGGATTCACAAAAAAAATATATTCGAGATGTTCCTGTATAAAACATTGCAAGGATATTATGGTCCACCACTGAATTGATTTCAACACAACAAACTAATATATTTTAGGGATATGCAGATTCCATTATCCGCCCTCATCATTCAAATTGCTTAGTACTCAAGTGTATACGTGTACCTCGAAAAATTTGTTCCATTCTACTTCTTCAACATTTGTTCAAACTATCAACTTTGTTGTACACGCGTGTAGCAGCGAGAGTCACAAGTCTTTCAAAACTTTTTTTTTATATTAGTCTCTTTCCCAAAAACTGTAGTTCTATTCTTGGTCAAGTTACATGTGTTTCAATGATTTATGAAATTTTCATAGTAATATTGTCTTCTTACGCTGATAAAACTTACGAACAGAATAATAAATTATTTAAAACATGATTTATATATCAAAAGATTCATTTTATGGAATAATACTTTTTAATTTTTATCTATTTCTATAATTATTTCTGATGTAAAGAAATTTTCATTCTATAGTATTTGAATTTAAGAAAGCAAAATAAAATGTTAAGTATAACTTTTCTTTTTATCCGCTTTTCAACGAAAATCACAAAAAATATCAAGAATACAAATTATATAGATGAATTCTTTTTTTAATAAATTATTTACTTAAAAATTGATTTATGTGAAGAGAAACAACTATCTTACCTGTTTGAGAATTTCTATAACATAAGAAGTAACAATATATACATACAGTCATACGATAGTCATTATTCGTTACATAAGATGTATTCGTCTCTCTATAATGAACCAGAAAGAAAAGCGTATCTTTCTTTCTTTTTTGTTTAAGGATGAACAAATTTGACGAAAAAAAACAAACTATGAATCTAATACAGTGAAATATTAGGCGGACACGTTTATTGTTCTCTACCAATATTTCTCTTCCAATTAGAAATATAAGAAAAACAGCGACGAATAAAATCAGGGTGTGGGTGGGTCTGAGTGTTAAGATAAGTTCAACACCCACACCCACACCCACCCACACCCACCCACAAACTAGACGGAATATCGTTATTTTCTTAGAAAAACTCCTTTCCTTGAGCAAAAAAATCAAACTCAAAAGGACGGAGGACAGTTCGTCCAAAAATCGGCCCTAAATGAAAATCTCTTCAGAAGTCAGCTACACCTTGGAAATAATGCTTCTTTCTTCATCACTCAACTACTCTCGATGCACATGAACGATTTTCCTGAACACTATATAGTAGTCCATTCTATCAGATAGCCTACCATCCCTTTATAGGACATATTTCTATCTATGATAGTGCTACGTAGTGCCTATAATAATCAAGTTCTTCAATGTAAAAACGACATATTTTCGGGGTAGATAGATCTTTTCCAGAGCTAAAAAATAATGCCACAATAAGTAAGAAAATATACTGTGCTCGATATTTTCTGAAGAGCCTACTGGTATAATCCTCTAGAAAAGGCACAAGGTTTGACAGCTTTGTCCACGCAATTTTCACAATGGCTCATAGAACCAGAGCTTTTTTTTCAGGATAGATGTGGCTTTTGAAAAGCTAAAAAATGATGGGAGAATATGTATGAAAATCTGACTACCCGAAAACAGTTGGAATGTCGAAATGGTGAGTATGCTACATTATGGTTGATTGTCTTGTTGGCATATGAGTATTAAAGTGACTTGACTGACGATCTTGCAGGCCTGTCCATGCTGAGAAAGGAAGTGCTTGAGTTATCAATGATGTTGTTTTTTGGGCTTTGTTTGCGCTCTAGTCGGATCGGAGCTTGCTTTGTGGGATCGTAGAGCTCTGGAATGTACTAACTGGGTTTGAGAAGTTAGGTCGTGATAGATGATAAGTTTGTTTGAGGAGAAGGAAGTCACAAGGAACATACTGATATACTGTCGTAAAGTTAAGATGTTGAATAGTTATATTATTAATGCCGTATAATGTGCAAACTTAAAAAGAAAACTTTTTCGTATAGTGGATAATAGCGGTGTTCGTCAGGAGTTGCTATCGAGTTATTCTTCTTTGTTGCAATTTATAGCCGAAATAATGTATGGATGCAGTTTATGTGAACATCAACTGCCTTTGCATTGCACTCTCAGAAAGACAGAACTGATGCGATTCCATCCAGACAAAAGCCGTCTGTAAACCCCCGATATTGAAATGTGTCAGATATCGACGATAGACTGCGACTTTTTTCACAGTAGTCTTTCACCATGTATTTGATCAAAATCTCTGTATATTTTTAAAATCTGTTCAAACTGATACAGATAGTCTGGCTCGCGTGCAGTCTTAGAGTATAAATGCACCTAAACCGACTGTACTGCTTGGAGTACATGCATGTACTGTAGTTCTACAACAAATGTTTCTTGTACGCATGAGCTACGAAAAACGTTGATTTCTGAAATGATCAATGCAGCTCTATTGGGTCTCGATGATTGTAAACTATTTTCAATTCTGAATTCGAGTTTCGATCGAAAACATTCTCCCAAAAATTGTCTATCGTTGAAGTCTCAAGTCTCTTGTTCAACCCAACCTTCACTGGGAGTAAAAAGCCAGATACTGAAAGTACTCCGGTGTATTGGTTGCATCACCGCCGTACCTGCAATATACCATACACTCCGATGATAACTGTTAGGTTAAAATCGATGCCCAGAGTAGCTAACGAATTCTCAGTGAACTGATTAGAAAAAACTCAAATTATCTTTTCAGCAGCATGGTCCGTGCATTCTTTGATTCGGTAGAAAACTCCAGATTGGTCATGCCCGTATCTATTCTACCCCTAGCCCAGCAGATTTCAGCACAACTGTCTCTGAAAATATTTCAAGACACGATCTCTTCATCCACATTTTGGCATTAGTCTTGAGCTTACCAAATGTTCTCACTGCTGTGAAAAAATTGTCTCTGTTTACATAAACTAGTCTGGAGATTGCATGGATAGAACTGCCCAAGTTAGTACCTTTGCCATAGGGTTATGTCAGCGTGCTCTTCAGAAAACATCCAGCACGGCATATTTTCCTAAATATTTTGGCATTATTTTTTAGCTATTGAAAAGGTCTATCTACCCTGAAAATATGTCGCTTTTACATTGAAGAACTTGATGATTATAGGCACTACATGATACTATCACAGGTAGAAATATGTCCTATAAAGGGATGGTAGACTATCTGATAGAATAGACTACTTTATAGTGTTGAGAAAAATCGTTCATGTGCATCGAGAGTGATTGAGTGATGAAGGAAGAAGCATAATTTCCAAGGTGAAGCTGACTTCTGAAGAGATTTTCGTTTAGGATCGAGTTGTGCACAAACTGTCTCCCGTCCTTTGAAAATCATCATTGATTACCAAATATAACTGACTCGTAGTTTTCTTGAAAAAACAAAAATATAGATTAATTTAACAATAAAATTTGACATGTTGCTTTATCAAGTAGCTAGTTTTTTATCTATTACGCTATTTAGATAGCGATCATAGAATGTCGTTTGCGGGTCAGCTTTATATATTTGTGGTGATTTAATTGAATCTCTCCAATCTTTACTAAGCGTATGTATACTATAATAATCAGTTGAATTTGGTCCACTATGATAATCACTTGTAATAGGTGGTAGATAAGAAGGTTGATTATAAATTACAGGTGGAGGTGAATGAGGTGGAGTTTCTGTTCGTTGAAAATAAGGTGTTCGTTCTGATTTATTAAATGAAGCATCAACAACTTGAAATTCACAATCAACATATTCTTTGGATGGTGAAAAATGATCATGAGAATGACGATGATGGTGATGATGATGGGAATGATGATGTTGTTGTTGTTGTGATTGAGTAGGAGAATGGTGATGATGATGATGATGATGGTGTTGTCGAGATTGAGTAGGAGAATGATGATGATGATGGTGGTGTTGTTGAGATTGAGTAGGGGAATGATGATGATGATGACGATGACGATGAACGTGATGATGTCTTTTATTTTCATCAGTGGAATCGTTATTCATTTTTTCTGAACGATGTTTTGATCGACGTACTGAAGCGTCAGAAGGTATAGTTAGATTATTTGAGTCTTGTGATGGTTTCTCCGTCATGGATGGAACAGACTTATCATGCCAATCATTTTCTGTCTTAAATTTGTGACGTTGTTGAGAACTTCTTTGTCTTCGTGTCTGATCCAAATTTTCTATATGATCAGTATCTTCCAAACGTTTATATTGTTTAGGTGACGATGGTGATACTTTCTCAACCACGTCATGACGTTGTTGATTAGGACTGTATTTCGTGATAGATGCATCATGATTATTATGATGAGACTTTCGATGATGTCGACGTGATGTTGTCGGTGACTTTGTTAATGCAGGTTCATGAGCATATTGTGAAGGATCGACTGGATCATAAGGTATCAGTTGACCATCAGTAGTTTGACGATGACGCATGTTCCAATCAGGATTTTTTAGTTTATAATAATGCCAATAGGGATAATAGTTATCATTCATTGCAGGTGGATTTGTTTCAGGTAATGGAACAAGATTTCCTTGACCTGGTGGTGCTTTACGAAGAGCTTTTTTGCTTTTTTTTTCTTCTTTTCGTGCATGATTAAATTGAGTAGCAAGTGGTATACCGTTTTCTGGTAAATCATTATAAGGATATCGAAGAGTATGAGGTTGTTTTTTTGGTAGATCAGCTCGCGGTAAAGGTGGTGTTAATAATTGTTTATTATTTGGAATAGGTGGTAGATTATTTTCACGAAATGATATAGGGGAGGACTGTTCTGATATATAAGTACTTTGATCATCATTAGATATTGGTTTTTCATTAGATTTTGATGCATCCCAATTCCTTAAATGTTCTTTTTTTAACTGGTACGCCATAGTTATTATTATTAAGTAAAAAAGATGAATGAATCAATACTCTTCCTTGAATAAATCCGATTTTTTTTTCGAGTGGAATAAATCAGCATCAACAGCGTGTGTCGCTTGACGATGCACGCATTCAAAACGATATTTAGAGTTACAGAACGCAAATGCAAACAATTGTTAAATCAACATGGCAATAGCGTCATACTTGAAAACAGAAGGTGTATGCTAATTGTAGTTAAGATGTAAAAAAAAGAAGTGAATTCATACAAATTTACATCGAGATTTGATAGAGTTGCATCAAAATATATATTATTTAACAAGTTTCATGAAGATTTTCATGTTTGCTCTGTATTTTGTTTGAATAAATTATTGGATTTTTTGCACAAGTCAATGATACATAAATTTGTCGAAGAACTCTTCATATTATTTGAGGACCTTTTCATAAGTACTTTTCGATTTATGAAAAAAGCTTATCTTATAAAACAAAAAAAAGAAAGACAAGTACAGCTGCTTATACGGTAGATCAACATTGTAAGATTTTTTTTTCTTTTCTTAGTCTACGTCGTATGAAATGTGTGTAACTATTCTTTTTGTTGTTGTTTGGAAGTAATGCGAGTGAGGTCATATTTTATTTAATGTTGGTTTCTTACTGTCAATCATTTTACGACACAATATTCGTGTATTTAAAACTTTTAGTTCAAGTGTTTTTCTTTTTTGAGCATTAATTACTGTGAAGAGAAATTGAAGTATATATCTTTTTTTTGTTTCTAGATCATAAAAAAAAATAATGTCGGAGGAGGACAATACTTGTCAAGCAAGATTACCATTAAAAGATGTTCCTTTTGAACTTCAACAAAAAATTGTTGATCTTGGTGGAAAACCTGATCTTAATCTTTATAAAATCTTATCAAATAATCCAACACTGTTTTCATCTTGGATTGATTTTGCTTATTCATTGCGACGTAACTGTACAACATCACGGCAACTTCGTGAATTAATGATTCTTCGAGGTGCACAACTTTGTAATTCACAATATGAATGGTTTCAGCACGAACAAATGGCAAAGCAATGTGGTATATCAATAGAAAAGATTGATTCAATTAAAGAATGGCAAAAAAGTGCTATTTTCGATGAAAAAGAAAAAGTGGTACTCGAATTAATGGAATCATTAATTCAAAATAGAGGAACGATCAGTGAAGAGTTGGATAAACAATTAAAAAGATATTTTACAGAAGCTGAATATTTAGAATTAATTTTAACAGGTAGCTTCTATGTTATGGTACCAACAGTCTTAAAAGCATTACAAATTCCAATCGAAAAATAAAAATTTAATTTGTAGCTTCCATTTGAATTATGATTATAATAAGTTATTTTTGATAATTCATTATCTTCTTTCTTACATTACAATTCATTCTTTCTTGTTTGTAATTAATAATTCTAAATAAAGCATCTTGTACTAGGTAAAGGCATGGATGTGAGTTCAAGGAAGAGAAACAGCCACATCTCCAAAAGAAACTATTGAACGATCACTTCTATTGATTTCAACTTGCGTCAGAATCAAAATGTACGAAATACTTTCTAAATGTAATGTACACGCTATTTTACACACTGTTGGTAAAAAAACAGCGTGTACGCAACACACTGTGTCTATGAAATTAATACTTTGTTTTTGATCTAAAAATCTGTTTCTCCATGAATTAATATTAATATCAGACGACCTCTTTTGATCAATTTTACTAACGGCTAAAATTTCTTTTTCTTATTTCTAATCATATTTTTTCTTTCTTTTGTTCTGTTTTCACGATGCACAGATAGATTGTTTGTTAATTTACCTTTTTTTAGTACATCAATAGTATAGAAGTTGATTCAATATGGTTCTGTGATAATCATCTAGATGTACATTATGAAGAGGATGAAAATGAAAATTTTGATTGGTTTTTGCTAGTTTTTCTTTTAATCAAATAGTAAAATCTTTACTTTTTTTTCAAATATGTTTCTACTCATGTCAGATTTAGAAATAATCATGTGTATATTTGTTGTTTAGTTAATCTTATGTATTTATTTTATATTTTTGATCGGGTATAGAAATCCACACGTTTATTGTTCTAGATTATATGACAAACTTCAAACTCTAAACTTTGATACCCTTTGCTTGCGAAAGTTAAGTGCACACGTACACTTTTTTAAGCTAAACAAAGTGTAGGAGAATATTTTGTTTCCGAATTCCATTCGGAAGCTTGGTCAGAATGATATATGTGATCACTTATAAATTAATGCAATCCATGAATCAAGCATCAACTAATTCTTGATAAAAATAAATGAGTTAGAATACCCGCTCAAGACAGATTAGATTTTAGTTATCAGTTTTTGATTTTATTAATTGAACAAATCTTTTTTTTTTAAATTGAAGGATCAACACGGTTACTGTTTATATTTATTAATGATTAAAAGAGTTAAAAATCTTGTATTCTGATTTTTAAATGAATTATAATTGTCTCAGAGTCTGAGCAATAAATTTTGTTAATTTCAGTCATTTTTCAAATATATTGCTTGAGTAATTTTAGAATTTCCAGCTTTTGAAAAATCAAATAATCATTTTTGATCTTATAAGTATCATAATAATATCATAGAACTATGTAGAATTTAAATAAATAAATAATTGTTTATAGTTTATCTACCTTATTATGATAGTTGAAGTCTAAGATGATAATTGATTGCTTTGTATTTTAAACGAATAAAAACAGTACAAGTGATGAGATATTGTTCAAAAATTTTTAGCAATTATTTAATTTACACTTGAACTTTTTTCAGTCATGATCACTAAAATATTGCCCATTTTTATTATTATAAATTCTTCTATGTATCGTACATAAATAATTAGTTTGTATATACTAGGATGAGTTCAGGAAAAACATAGAAAATTGTGTAAATCAAATATATAGTTATATAAAATCTTACAGATTTTCTTTTCAGCAAACATTCCTATATCACTGTAGTTAAAGCATGATCGAAACAGCATAAAGACGTTTAGTTGACATAAACTAAAACATCCAAATTCCTTTATAAATACCAATAGAATTTTCGATAATTGTCTTTTTTTGTTCTAATAAAAACTAATTGAATAATAATTATAATTATCGTCGATTAAAGAGTATTATCTTTGAATGATCATTTATCTCAAATTTGTTTTGTAGAATTCATGTATATTTCTGAAGAAAATAATAGTGAGTGGAAGTTTAAATTGAGATTTTTGCGGCTCTCCATACTCCCCAACACAGAAGCATGAACTGACTAAGTTTTAACTCTCGAGAATAATTAATATCAGTGTTTTTGAGTTCATCAAGATACACAGTCGATCGTGAAGATCTGTTGTAGTTTTGACGAATGCGCACAACAGGCTTATCTTGTCCATTAAATTAATAGCTAGACTAATAATAATAATATATCATGAAAATGAAATGAAAAAAATATACCATGCGAATAACAAAAAGACAAATACAAAAAGGAATTGTATTAGCATAGTCCATCTAAAGAAGACATATGAGTTCCACATATCCTAATACCATTGACAATTATAGCATCAGCAATAACTGTTATTACTAATATTTTCACATTTTATACATCCTACATCATATGGATATCCCAGAGAGAGGAGAAGTTTATGTAGAAATTACATTTTTTTTCTTCTTCTGCTACGTCACATGTTATCGTCCTTCTTGTCTTCTTACTCAAGAGTAGCATCGATAAAATGGTTATCTATCTGCCCAGCTCCTAGTGTCGCAAAATAACCACTTTTGTCAGTATAGAAGTCTCTCACTCTTGATTTCTTTGTCAAGTAGACAAAAAGTACGCACCATATACTTCATCTTCCATAGTTGTAAGCTATTTTACAAAACAACTTTGCTCTTGAAAAGTCTACATAGTGTTTAGATTTTGCCTAATCTATTAAGTTAGGAAGTAACAGTTACTTTCTATTCTTTCAGGAAAATGTTGTCAAAAAAGGCATATATCGAATGCTTGACAATCTTTTTTAATAAGACAAATAATGAAGTCGCAACCATCGTTGATGAATATCGAATGAGCAAGGGAAGTAGTAGTTGTAAAAATTTAGTTTGTTTCGTAGGTGCTGTCGTAAAAATAGTTTTCGATTCTGTAGCTGATATAGTTACAGAAAATTTTCGTCGTGAACTTTAATAGGAAAACAATATATATTACATTGAAAATAGTCGTATTTTTGTTGTGCAATTTTACAATAAATTTTTAAAAGAATTTAACACTGAACTATCTCAAGGGATACCAACCATAATAAGTAATGTACAGACAATGAATAGTTTCATTTTTCAAAATTTTATATCTTGGATAAGTTTTCTGTTGATGTTTCATTTTCTTACGAATCTTCCTTGAAGTTCGAAAATGAAGTTCATAAAATCAGTACTGTCAGATTTTAAAATATTGAAAACAACTTTTCCGATCGTCGTCATTATGTTTGCCGTCTCGTTTCTCGTATCGACATTCTATATTCTACTTTTACCGAGCTTCATTCACTTGCAACAGTCATATTCTTCATTACAACCACGCCATATTCGTATCGACCATCATGACGTGGACACTCATCCTGATATCGTTGTTGAGACGCCGATTTTTTCCTGGTCAATTGATGATGAAAAGCATCATTGCAATGACACTTCACGACGTGGGCTTCATCAAACAGCTTATCGATTGACCATTGTCAGAGAAATCAGTTTCTATTCTCCAACACAGAGCTCCTCAGTCATGTATGACTCAGGACGTATCATATCATCCATATCGACCAATATTTTATACGATGGTCCAGCTTTGACATCTGACACACACTACATATATTCCATTCAATATTGGTCATCTACTGGTGCAGTCAGTGAACCAGTAACTGGTCGATTTCGAACTGCCTTATTCAATCCGAAAAATGAATTGACTGCCAGTTGGATAGGTTCGCGCCTGATTAATATGAATGAATTGCGGCGCGAATTTTATATTCCAAAAGGCATATTAGCCGCTATGGTATTTATGAGTGGAATGGGTTACGGTATGTTATATGTTAATGGTGTAAACATTGATCCTTCGCGTCGTCTAGATCCTGGATGGACCACATACACACAACGTGTCCTTTATGTTTCGTATGATATTACTAACATTTTGAAAGGTCAATCCATTAATTGCATCGGTGTACAGTTAGGACTTGGATTTTATACGCACGAACAATGGGGTGGAGGAGTGCCTGCACCAGCACCAGAAGTATTTGGTCCACCACCAAGATTGCTCTTACAAGTCAATATTGTACTTAGCGACTATACAACAATGAATATTAGCTCCGATACAACATGGCTTGGTCGCGAAGGTCCCCATCGTAAAGATAGTGTCTATATGGGAACAATTTATGACACTCGGGCTGAACGATACAACTGGTCAACTGCTGGTTTTACTGATCCTTACAGTTTGTGGCTAAATGCATCTCTAATCGAATCACCATTGACTTCACCGACCGGTCAATTAACATATCAATCTATGGATCCAATACGAATTAGTCCATATGCTCTGCACATTGCTACATCAGCTTCACGAACTGGCTACAAGTCAATGCCACCAGGTGTTGTTGGCGGTAATTTAATGAATGGTGGTGTGTTTAATGCTACGCCTTTAGCGAATCAACAAGTCCCGACATATGATGTTGCACAAAATATTGCTGGCTACTGCACATTGACAATTACGGGTAGACAAGGAATGACTGTATCAACACGACATGCAGAATTACTTAATGAACCAGGTGTGGATGGAATTAAGTATCAAGGACTTAACTCTGCCAATTATCAAATTATTTCCGCGTCTGATGATTTTATCATTCAAGGTAATCCGCATGAAGTACTGGCACCCCTCTTCACTTATCATGGCTTTCGCTATATCTCAATATATGCTAATTACATTAATATTGAGTCAGTGGTTTGCGCGGCAATACATAGTGAAACAACTCTAATCGGTAATTTTACTTCATCATCACTCATACTCAATCAAATTCAACACAATATTTTGTGGTCACAACTGAGCAATATAATGTCGATTCTAACAGACTGTAGTCAACGACAGGAGCGACGAGGATGGCTTGGCGATGCAGCCCTATCAGTTGATGCTGCATTATTCAACTTTGATTTGTATGGACTGTATGTGAATTTTCTACGAAATATTGCTGATGTTCAACATGAAGATGGATCGATACCTGATACAGCACCATATTCCGTCGGTGGATATGTAGCAGACCCATCCTGGGCACATGCTTATCCAGAAATTACTTGGCGTATCTATCAGCATTACAATGATACAGTTGTCGTAAAAGAACACTACGCTGGAATTCAAGCATGGGTAGATTATTTGACCAGTCGTGCAGAACAAAGTGGTTTGGCAAATATGTATTTCGCTTATGGCGATTGGGAAACACCGGCTAATTATCCTGTGACGAATAGTTCATTGGTCTCGGCATTTTCATATCTGAGTGATGTACAAATAATGATAATTCTGTCAAAAATACTAAATAATCAGACTAATGTTGCCAAATACAGCAAATTGTATGATCAGTTGGCAATAGAATTCCATGAGACGTTTTACAATCCGCTCGTCAATGGATATGCAGAAGGATATCAAACGGCAAATGCGCTAGCATTGAAACTACCCAATGTTGTACCTTCAAATCTTCGTGCATCGGTTATCAAAGCTCTTGTCGATAATATTGTTGCTAATGATAACCATTTGACAACTGGTATTATTGGTACGGCTGCACTATTTCCAGTACTATCTGACGCTGGTTATCATGATTTAGCAGTAACAGTGGCGACTCAAACAACGTATCCATCCTTTGGATTCATGTTCAACAATGATGTACAGAATGCCACGACAAACTGGGAAACATTTCATGCTTTATTAAAAGGTTCTGGTGGTACGGATAGTCTAAATCATCACATGTTTAATAGTATTGGTGCTTGGTTCTATCGATACTTGGCCGGAGTACAATTCAATGGCCTTGCCGAAGATCTTATTATTCGTCCGCGATTGACTCAACTATTGATAAATGTGGAAGCCGAAGTGTACACAATTAACGGACCAATTCTTGTTTCATGGCAGCGACACATTGATGAAAATACAGTCACCTATAATGTGACCATACCGAATTCGCTTTATTCCGTTATTACATTCGAGCCCATCGAACCAACAGCTGATTGTATATCGATTGAAGAAAATGGCATATTAATCTGGCATCGATTCGCATCAGTACTTGAGACCAATATTAATGGTATTGTATGGGTACGGCCCGACTCGAAAGTCGACCGTGCGATGAGTATCCGCATAGAAAGTGGTTTATATCATTGGAAAGTGCAATGGACTTAATTGGAAGTCAAAAAAGATCACCTTCACTAAAATCAAAACGTACTAATTTGATAAAAAGATGCTGTGTTTATTTAAATAGAGTTTTAGATGTTGTATATGAGTAAAAATATATGCGTGTTATTCAGCTCAATGATATATGTGTCAAACGCTGCATTTTCCGTCTCAAAATACTCTTTTTTCATCGAATTCTTGGCAAAAATGTCTTTTTTCGTTAGTAGAATTTCTTTTGCATAGAAACGAACTTCCTAGCAACTTCTTACATAAGTAGATCTTTTTCTCTCAGATAAAGAAGCAAGACGTTAAACAAACATGTGACTTGTTAAATTTTACAAAGAGAACAACAAACAGTAACAACAACTTAAATAACAGAAAAACAAGAAAACAAATCAGAGAAACTCATATTTCTGATTTCTCTTCAGACATATAGCAAAGCGGAAGAAGGATAAGTAGAGAGAATGGTAGCGAACGATGGATGGCGTACTCTAACAATTCTCTCGACCCGTAAGACAATAATGGAATCAATAGAATACATAGAAGAAAGGGCAGAGAGGAAAAAGCGTAGGAAAATGAAATCATTCTAATTGAAGATACGTTGATAGATATTTACTTTAGGACTGTAATGTAGTGGTAACGCGATGCGATGAGGGCCGTGTACATCCAAATTCATGATCATAAATGGCTTTTGCAAAATATTGATTATCGATTAGATGATCATATTGAATTTAATCTTCAGATGAATGAAAATCAATGTACCATATGACGACGTCGAACATAAAGATGATCCAATCCTTGTTTAACGTGTCGAATTTTAAAATTTGGATAAATACTAAGATTCATTTTCGACAGGGTTAACCAACAGTACATGACTCGGCAGTGAACAAGATAACAATAGTGCTAGTATACAGAGAAGTTTGGCATCCGAAATAGATTCATAATTATTCTTTTGATTGATGATAATGATCAAACATCGAACTTAATAATAGTACGGCTGTCACTGACTGGGTAGTTCATCAATTGATGATAGTGCCGTTTTCAACCAACTAGATCAAAAGGTAGTATATACCGAATGAACGATTCAGCCTCAAGCCTCAATATCTTGATGTATAAGTAATGTCCAAAAATTACTGAAATGTTTTAGTAACTGCAGTTTACAAAGCCCAGTCCTCGTTTGGATTCTTAAATCGAATGAATATAAACAAAATCTTCATCACTTAATGATAGTGCTAATGTACAACAATTCTCTCAATGAGGAAAGATTCCATTATACAATTCCGGAAATAATTTTTGAAAATCGAGCGAATGGAACTGCTGAATAACAGTTGTAAAGAATAACTTAAACTAGGCAAATGTTAATAATGCCAGTTGTATATCGTTTCCATCGATAATAGACAACGAATGAGATTGAATAAATCTGGATGTGTGCGTATATGTTAGATACCAAGTCTTGTTTCTTGTCGAATTCGATATGGCATGATTAATATGATAAACCTTGACGGTTTTAAAGGTTCAAAGGTTTTTTATACATAAGCGTCGATACATGATGTTCAGTAGACGTATTTTGATTATTATGATGCCTCTGAAATAGAAAAGAAAATGGTAGTTCACATGTTGATAAGTAATTTGTATTAAGAAAATTTGTGATAGTGAATAATAAGAGTTTTGGAATTAAGCTGCTTAATGATTCGAAACTTAATAATTATACATCGGTTGATTGGTAATCTGTCCCATTATCTGCCTGTACAATAACTATGACCAAGGTACAATTTCTCGAGAAGCTTAACTTAACCATAGGCATAGTGAGTGGTATATGAAGTATAGCGTATACGATAATTTTCATGAGATACTGTATCACCAAATCGACTGAACAAATTATAATACTATACTTAGGTCATGTCAAAAGTAGTTACAGAGCTATATCAATTTCTTATAGAATGTTTGAAGAAATCTTCTTTTTATATAGTCTGATAGTAAAACCAAAGTTCTACATTTCTCACCATCTGATATCATAATAATAAAATTTCCATTAGACTTGCTCATATCAAGGTGTGGATGTTGATGTAGATGTGTGCGTGTGGATTTCGGTATCGCTGAAGTGAAGTTTTCAAGTACTCTGAATAGAAACATGCTTCTGTTTGTCTCCGCATTCGTACTCCTTGCTATGTCAACGTTCATTGTTTAATAACTGACTAAGAGAGCAATACACGTCCGATGTTTGTATAGCGATGCCAATGAAAGGTTATATATATATATATATATGATGATACTTTTATGCACAGCATTTTCTTTCCTGAAACGAACAACAATAGACAGATAGAATGGATCAAATGCCATGCGAGTTATTACATCACATTTTTTGGTATATTGATCAATCGTTAGATATTTTTTCGAATGTTTTGTGTCTGTAGTCGTTGGTGATCTTTGGTTATGGACAATGAATATTTTCTAAATCAATGGTTTTCTCAATCATTAGAACGCTCACGATAAGCATTTCTTGATACTTACGTCCAGTACATCAACGCCTCTAAACAAAAGTCGATGCTAAGCATCGATCAATTATTATTTCCTATCAATCTTCGATCAAGTGAACGTTGGCCCCTATCTTCGTCTGTTTCAGAACCTTCATCTCATAAGGAAGATCTTCTTGCCCATGTTCATCTCATTCTTTCTCCTTCTGGCTCTTCTTACCTTATCAATGTAAATTAGGTATACAAGTCTCAAATTTTAACGTCAACGGTCAAACCATCTTTCTTCATGGTAATGAAAACTATTATTTCAACAATGGAAACTATGTATCAATCAATGATCGATGGATTCATATTATTTTGACCAAAATTGATTCACAATCCAATTATCGAATATGGATCGATGGACAACATGTTTCAAAACTCAATCAATATGATATATTCTTCAATAAGATGGAGCGAATCTCTTTTTTTTATAATGTTGTGATACTTAGCAAGTTTGACGATAATTCATTAGGGCCGCCTATCAAAGTTCCTATAGCCGATCTCAATGCTTTCAAACGATGTTTAACACTTCTCGAAATTCAAGCTATTCATCAACAGCAAATATCAAAGGCGACTGATATTGCAAATTCAACTTTTCTTTATATAAATTCATTTTTTTCTTGTTTCTTGTGTTTCTGACATTGTTCATTGGTCATTTTGTCTACTTTGACTGCTTAAAATGAAGCAGATAGTTAAATAATACGACAAATTGTAATCATTCAATCATTATTTTATGTTCTTTTTATCGAAAACCTCATGTACTGGATGAAATTTTATTGAAGGAACATGAAAATTTCAAGATAATGAATGTCTTATCTTATGGTCCAAAGTTGATAACATTTCGCCTATTTTTTTCGATTACTTGTAAATGAAAGACAATTGCTTTCAAATCCGAATTCTCTGTATTTTTTAATGAAACGAGCATCTGCACTGTGAAATGAATATTCATTTTGTCGATTGATATCTGTAACAAAACGAGATTTATCTTGAATGTTTAAACGTTGTGTCCAAAAGATAATGAGAAGAAATGAAATAGTACCTTCTGTTGATGATTTTGCAATAAAATGTAACTTGTCTTATAGAACGAACACTTAAAGAAGAAATTTTAAAAAACTTATTTCGATTAGCAAAATAAAAATTAGTAACAGTGTCTTTGACTTTCTTCTTCCCGACTAAATTGAATCCATGTTATCAAACATCCAGCCATACATAATTTCAATTCATCATCAGTTAATTGGCAAGCTCGTGTAACATAAATCCAATAATAAGAAATATATCAAACTGCTTTAACTAAATAAAAGAGAATAATAGGTGCTTCATTCATTTCATCTTTTGTTGTTTTTTTTCTTGAATAATTTGCCCATTAGCTTGACGAGTATATTTTAAAAAGAATTTTATTTCTTCATTTGATTCTTCTTTATCCTGAACTGTTTTTGTCAATTTATCAAAATATTCGTGACTTGTTAAACGTTCAACAAAAATCATATCACAATCATGTAGTCTTTAACAATCTCTTTTACATCTTGGCTTATTTTCTAGAAATTTATTCTAAACTGATAGAGGACATCAGTTTATTCGAGAACAAAAAAAAACATAATAGATTAAATAAAATGACCGATTTTGATTTTTATACATAATATTTGACATTAATTAAAAAGCGAAAAATGATGCAATTTCAAGGACGGTGGAAGAGTTTTCAATAGATAATTAAAGAAAAAAGATATGTATCCATCTTCATACAACAGATTCTAACAAACTCTAAATAGTAATAAACGTGTGTAGGAGTAGAATTTCTATTGAACAATTATAATGATAAAGAACAGTAGAAATCAGAATGGCAGACTAATTATAATATTAATATTAGTTTGAATTTCATTGAATTTGATCATCTAGATTGTCATCAACATTTTTATTATCAGAAATGATGTATATGAACTGAAGTTATTAAATGAAATAAAATTTACAAAAAAAAATAATTTGACATTTAATTGTTTGTCGTGCATTACGTAATATTGTCTGAATTTCCAGTACTTTCTTTATTAATAATCGTTCATCTTGAAATGTAATTCCCAACACTTGAAATATAATTTTCTTCAAATTCAGAATATCTATTTAGAAAAAATTTCCATTAATTGTCATCAAAAAAAAAATATTCAATATTATATTTATTGCTAATTAAATAAATCAGCTAATGGCATAAAGAAAGATGATTTGTAATGTTGAAGATGACTGTTTGTCGATGTTGAAGAATAATGACTAACATCATGTAAAAAAATATTTAATTCTAGTCGCATCAATACAAAATATTTCTGGACAATGAATTTCAAATTATCTGATTTGTTGCCGAACTTGAACTAATGCTTCGTTTAATATATAATAATTAACTTTATCGTCATAGTAGAGAGAAAGATGGGTCAAATTGGAAAAACATTTTATATATTCACTGATTTGATTTGCATATGGTGAATTATGAAATGCTATTGAAATGCCTTTGTTAAAATTAGAGAAAAAGGCTAATTCAGTGTCTAACCACAATTGACTTATATTGAATTCTAATGAAACATTTTGTTCAGATTTGATTTTTCGAAGAATCATTGTAATAAAGAAGAATATCAATGGAGAATGTCGATATTTCATCACTCAATGAAAGGTATTGACTTATTTCAAGAATAAATTCCCTACAAAGACCAGTCTTTTTAACGAAACTAAATGACTAAACGAATACTTTCCATATAAAAAATAAACATGAAAAACAAGAACACTCACTAAATCTTGTTCATTTTTATCGCATACTTCTTTGAAAATATTCGATTCATTCAATAGATTTTGAGTGTGGGTGTAAATATTCACTTCAACAATACCGAAATCCACACACTTACACCACAGATTTTTCGTACCTGTACTTGAGTTAATTTTTCATAATTCGGTCTGAAAGAGAAGATTTTCTCACGCATGAAAAACTTCAACTGTCTCCTGCAATTTTTGAGATAAAATACCATTGCACAAAATTTTAAAAAGTGTCGGATGTATTTGCCGCAGCAAGAGATCACAATGGTAGAAACTTCTGAAAATTGAGGTATATTCAATAGTAGACAAAAAAACGATCTTTTTAAGGTAAAAATGTACGGAATCAGATCGAGAGAGATTGCAAGCATTTATTTGTTTATTTTAGAAAATTGAATGTCAAAATCCGTTAAAAACAATCTGAAATAAATATTAAAAAATCGAACGATCGTGGTAAAATTTTGATATTTATGATATCAAAATGGAATGATAGAAGATATTTCTTCTATTTAACTGTCAATGTAAAATAACTGGTAAAATTTATTTTTTCAGGAATAATGAATTGAATAATATTTACATATTAATAAGTAATAAACTTGCTTATGTATATCTGAACGAATTGATTATACTGATAAAGCGGACTTGTTGGTGTTGGCTGTTAATCAATAAATATTGGTATGATATTCGAATCAGGGTTAGAGTCAAGTACTAAGTTTAGAGAGCAGGGGTATCATCAGATTGGAATATATTCGTGGTGATTATCATAACAACGGACAGAACGAGATAGGTTTCGCTCAGGTCTACCAAATGAAATTGAAAACTTTGTATTTTGCGAGAAACCACAATTCTGGTTACACCAACCCTGATTCGACCTTCAAATTAGAGGACTAACACTGGATAACAACAAACATACGGTTGTAGTTCGCCCATTGGTCCACTTGGAACACAGACACAATAACAACAACAGCAGATGTGCATCGTGTGAGAAATTAAAAAATATCGCGTATTGTGTAAGAAAACTGTTGTTGGTAACTATTCGGTACACCGTGTGAACGAAGAAGATGGTAGTCTAAATTGTTATTTATATATCTGTCTATCGATATTGACTTCCGAGGAAGTGGTGCATGTTTTTTCCAACATGATTAATACCATCATCAACGGCACAGAAATAAATACAAACAATTATGATTTACTTCGTCGATTTGATCGTATGAGTTAGTAATGAGTAGTGTTGGAAATGAATGTCATGCTTGCTGAAATATCGACAAGTATGTGAGCAACTTGAAAAGTGATATAAACATAAACTATTTCCCTACAATATAGGTGATAAAAAAAAACATTGATGACGGTTAACATATTATTTTTTCATAGTGTCATCATTTAATTGAAAGATGAAAAACAAATTGATATGAGTATAACGGTATGACTTGTCATTGCCAATCAATATCGTCTGCCATCTGATTTGCACATGGACATTTTTTCTTTGCCTTTCCTCTTATGAGACTATTCATACTTGTTTTCTGCTTGACTGTATTACTTGCAGCGTTCTTTCTTTTTCTGTCTGTCACATGTGATCGTACCAAATAAGAGAAAATTAGTAATAGAGTACCATGTTGTTTTCGATGAACATATGGAGATTGAATTTACACTAAGATTTAAGCGACAGTCAAGTATATTCGAGCAAGCAAAAGTTCGTTCTTCTTTTGTTTAGTTCACTCTCAATGTTGATAAATTTCACATATATGCTGTTTTGAAAAAAAGGCAAACAATTCATATTTTGTGTTATAAATGAGACCACGAAACGATTTCATTGAAATTAAAGAAAAAAACAGTACTGCATAAGATTTGAAAAAATTTTCTTAATTAAATCTAAAGCTTCTTGGTCTTGCCGATTTACTTCTTCGAATCGATCAGATCAATAAATTTTCCTTCATCGTTGATTTATTTGATAGTTTCATTCATGGTTGAAAATCAGCTAAACAGAACCAACAAAAATCATAATGAGATTTGTTACAAATCATTTGATTATATGCATTATGAGTTAACCTGTCGTGCCATTTAACTATATGAGTCAAACATGTCTTTTGATGACAGCAAAGTTACCAAATCCAAATTTTTGAAATCAGAAATTTTTCCTCTGAAATTAGGATTCGATCAGAAGACTTTTCCATAAGATTGGCTGAAAAATACGAAGATTTTTTGAACTTTGACTAAAAAAAGAAAATATTACACAGGTCTCTCTTAGAGAGGCAAAATCGCCACTCTTACCAACTCTTTGACTCGTCTGTATCAATGACAATTCTTGATCATTAAGAAAGTAATTGTGAAATTTTATAAAACTCGAATAATCAATGTTCAAACTTTCGTTTCAACACATATAAGGAGATATCTAGTTCGAATTGTTTTATCATTTTAGAAAGAATTGGTATGATTGAATTTTTATGAATTAAACGCGTTTTCACTTTCAAGAAGATGAGCTAAAAGATGATTGTCTCTACCTGCAACAGTTATTTGTGTTGATTCATACTGTCGGCAAAATCGAAACAATCAGAACTGAAATTCAGAAGAAATCACGAGAACCATCTCCTGCAATCAGGAGATTTTTTATCAGGAGACAAGTCAAAAAATCAGAAGCTTTTTATTCAAATCAGCAGACTTGATAGGCCTGGCCCACATTCATCCTTTAGATAACGTGAAAATTCTTTTCTGAAAGCATGACATATTTAGCCACAATTGACACCTAAGTGACTTGAACAATATGTTTAGTTAAAATAATATGTGTACAATCTCACATCTGTTTAAGATCATAAGCTGGGAAAAAAAGAATTTTTTAATATTTTATTAAAAAAAAACTTAAGCATTTGATGATCATTTTATTAGGATTCTTCTAACCAGCTCAAATACTTATATAATGACTTAATAAGTTCATTTGATAGAACACAAAGAAAACGTACTTAGAACATCCCTTTTTAGAACTAGCAAAAGTTTGATTTTGCCCAAAACAGAATGATAAGGGTATGGGTGTGTGTTTGTGCAGCTGTAGCACATATAGCGTCTAAGTAAATGTGAGTTCAGAAAAGTACCGCATTCACACCCTTTTTTTCTCTGTGTTACTGTAGTTTCAGTGAGAAAGAATCGCGATTAACTGACAGTCGAGAAAACAACTGCAATTGACAGGTAGTATTTAAGTAGTTCATATGGTAGGAGTATGACTTATCTTTTATCACTCTATTTTAGTTCTAAAGCAATCAAATTCTCGATTTGAATCAACCTATCAAACAATTCTAATTTTCAACTACATTTGAAAGCTTTTCTATTCCCGTTGTTTCTCTGTTATCTTTATTCTCATTATCAGTACCTTTTCAGTTCTGCATATATATGATTGTATCAAGTTGTGACGTGTTCGGTCGAAAAACTCACTAATACGTGCTTTCTCCTAATAATAGAGTTCGATATTGAGATTGTAAACTTATACCGCTGTCAAGTGGAAGAAACGAAAGAACACGCTTACTTCCTACCTTTTTCTCATATAAAATGCACCTCTAACATAAATCCTTTTCCACCAATAATAACACTTTTGTGACAAAGTAAATAAAAGCACGAGTGACATTTTCATACTCAAAACTATGCAACAACACAAAACAAGAAAACTTCTCTTATTGTTAAGGCAATACTTTTTGAAATAGTAATGGGAACAGTTCATGCATCAAAAACATCCAATATTATAAACAGATCCATCGTTTGGCTTGATGCCTCTGTTAATGATACAGAAGAATATATCAATGCTCAACAATTACTTAGTACACCAGGGAATTATTTAAAAACGTACACAGATGATAAAGAATGTGAAAAATATATTCGGTCAGTACCTAAAGGTCATCGAATTATTCTGATTGTTGGTGGTCGATCAGGTCGTCTGATTGTACCTCGTATTCATCAACTTATACAAATTTCGTCAATTTTTGTGTACTGTATGGATAAGAGAAATGAAGAATGGACAAAACCGTATAGAAAAGTAAGCAAATTTTTTGTTGTGTATACAAACAGTATGAAAGATGTCATTAAAAGACGACAAATAAGAATTATTATTTCAAACTCAACAAAATTTGACGATGTAGATTGTAGTTTCTATAGTGAAATGTTTTTTTTAAAGACCGTGTTCTCATCCATATACGATCTTCTTATTCAAATATGTTCCTTATACAAATGAACATTTTGAAGAGTTGTATAGTCTCAAATTTCTTGTTTTTCTTATTCAGGTTAAAAGTGTGACAGAAGACATAAACGAACTCGTAATTCACATTTTATCAGCTCAAGAAAAGCAAACAACTTGCGATAGATTTGAAGGACAACTGTCAATCAATGTTTATCATACTAGTGGGACTCGAGAAAAATCGACAACTGAACTCAATGGCCAATTTGTTCATTCACAAATTTTGATTGATTGTCTACTTCGAATGAGATCTATTTCGAGAGACAAGAATGAATTTATTACTTATTGTAAGAAAGAATATGCAAAGAATGATTCTCAATTAAATATTATTCGTGAATTTGAAGAAGATTATTCAGCTAATCGCGCTTTGACATGGTATACGAGAGAATGTTTTATATATCAATTATTGAACAAAGCTCTCCGAGTGCAAAATATTGATTTGCTTTATTTATTTGGATTTTTTATTCGTGATCTTCGAAATCAACTTGAACAATATCAATTTCCATCATCAATTCGTGTCTACCGAAGTCAATTAATGTCTAGAAAAGAAGTTCAACAATTGCAAAATTTCATGGGGCAATTGATTTCAATGAATTCATTTCTTTCTACGACACTTGATCGGGAAGTGGCTATTTTTTTCCTTGGTGATATCGAAGTATCGAATGGTGATTTGCAACCAGTTTTGTTTGAAATTGAAGCGGATTCTCGCATTGATGGTGTCAAACCTTTTGGTAATATTACTCCGTTTAGTTATATTGCTGACGAAGAAGAAGTATTGATGATGTTGGGATCAATCTTTCGACTTATTCATATTCGTTATGAAGGTCAATTGTGTATCATTGAATTAGTATTGAGTAGTGAAAATGGTCATGATGTTAAGCCTATCTTCGATCAAATGAAAGATGACTATCATGGTGAAGGGCAGACAAGTGTTGGCGTATTTGGTATTGTGCTCGCTAATATGGGAAAATTTGATGAAGCTGAAAGATTCCTTTGTCGTTCACTAGATGAGTCTCTTCCTGATAATGAAACGGAAGAAACTAAGGGTATAGTTCTGACTTTCAAACATGTCTTATACTAAGTTATTCAGCATTCTGTAAGATCTTTTCTTTCTTTGGTCTTACTGGAGTAGAGTTACTAGTGTACAGTAACAGTAGTTTTGACATACTAATATTCTTTGAAAGGAGCTTTTGAAAGAGAACCATTTCAGACCGTTGAGATTCAGGCTGTTTTTTTTGTCTCGTGTGAAAATAAAGATTGGTTTTATTGCTTTTATGCTCATTTTCAGAAAACTAACTTTAACTCTTCTTTTTAGCGTATAATCTCAGTGTTTGCTATGTCAATCTTGGTAATGTAGCTAATAAGAAAGGTAACTTCAACAAGGGTCTTGATTGGCATCATAAAGCGCTTGAAATCAGATTACAATTAAGAAAACGAAACGATCCTAGCATCGCAAGTATTCATAATCTAATTGGAACTTCTTACTTTCACAAGGGTGAATACAAGCGTGCGATTGAATCTTATAACGAAGCTTTGAATATATATTGGCCAATATACGGTCAAGATCATACAAAATTAGCAGAAGTTTACAATAATATTGGAGCTGTCTATTCTAAACAGGAGAAATATTTGGATGCACTTGATTATCAACAGAAAGTATTGAACATTCAAAAAAAATATCTTCACGAGAATCATTATCTGTTGGGCGAATCACATATTAACATTGCTACTACTTATCAATATCTTGACAACTCTGATCTTGCATTAGAACATTTTAATGAAGCAGTCAAAATCTTCCAAAAATCTCTTCCTTCTCAACATCCTAACTTTGCAGCTATATACAATAATATGGGTGGTATTTATGTAAATAAGCGTAACTTTCAACAAGCACTATCATGCTTTGAAAAGGCTGCTGCCATTCTACATCAAACAGTGGGACCTAACCATCCTGATGCTGTTGATGTTCAACGAAATATTCAAAATATTCAAAGTTTTATTCATAGACGCAAATAATGCCATCATCATCTTCGTTTAGGGTGTGGGTGTGGGTATAGATGAATGAAAGATATTCAGAATCACATTTGCATATAACCACACTGCACATTCAGTCTTGATTGTTTTCTATCAAATTGGACATCCCCGAGCTCAAATGGTCAAGTCGTTCATGAGACAATGTCAAAATATTGAGCATAATCATTTTAGCAATTTTTTAGGGTCGAAATAAATTTTTAAAAGTTGATTTAGCTCGCTTTTTCCATAGATACAGTTAAATGACTGAATATTTCAGAATCGGGTACGATTTGACTAGACCTTCCATTTGGGATGATTAAATCAAAAACAAAAGAGTTTTATTCCAGAGGTCTATATAGAGAGTTGAGTAATGCTACAGTGAACTTTCTCTTAAATATGTCTTTTTGCAAGTGATATATTGGAAAAACCGTGTTGCAGACGAACACCTCCATCTTCTGATATTCTTATTCGGTTACCAATCAATTCATCGTGATCGATTCGTTGCATATCAACGAGAGGATACATTGATTGAAATAAGTGATTTAGTTTAGTATGTTATTTAATTAATCACGTAAATGTATGTTCTACTATGGATTTATTAGATCTACATGATGGATAGAAGATGCACTTCGAAGGAACAAATAATTTAGTTCTGAAAAAATTGCTTACAAAATTCTTCTGGTAAAGTGCAAATAGTCTGCTACTAAATGAGACTCAAGTTCTTTCAGGAGACCACTTCTGAAGAAATCTTCAGCTAATAAAAATTAAGAAGAAATGAAGGCAAAATTCGCTGCTACTTGGAGTGTATGACTCATTCAGTATTTTTTGCGACTATTTCTGTGATTTGCAAAGCTGCTCGATCAGTGGATAAAGTGGCTTTGAAAATCTTCGAAATGGGTTTTAGATTTTCGGTCCTGCGAACATTAAATATTCAGGGTGTTACAAGTCAAATTTTTTTCGTGCTTTCTAGAAATAAAAATAGTCCTTCCTCTAAGAATTGTGCTAATAAATTTGGATGTTTGAGCATCTTTATTATATGGAAGATTGAAGTTCAGAAATCATGTATGATTTGTTGAAAAATTTTCATATTTATGAGCATATGCTGAACTTAAATACTAGATTTTCCTCTTACTTTTCATGTATTACTTCTTAAGTCATGTATTTTCCAAATACCGATGACTAAATCGGATTAAAATAATTTATTAGATTTAAAAAAAAATTTTCACACTCAAAAATTTAAATTTTTTCTATATTTTAAACTAGTCTAAATTGAAATTTAATTTAAATTCAGGTTAGATAAATTGTAAGTTGACACTCCTATGATTTTTTGTGATAAAAACTATTATCGAGAAAGAGTCATTAGACTCTAATGGAAAGTATTTTTAGGGATGATTGATTAAATAACATACTAAACTAAATCACTTAATTCAATTAATATATGCTCTTGTTTATATGCGACGAATTGTACTAGTGCCGTAGCTGACACTTAGTCCTCAGTGATTATGGGGTATACTTTATGCATCGTACATATATTTGGCATAAATTATAGCAAACAAAGGATCGGTAGAGACACACAGCTAACATTTATTGATTAAGATTAGTATGATTTCAAACATACAATTTTTGAGAAAATGTTTTGAAGTTCAAAGAACAATACTCTTACAAATCGTTAGAAAAGATTTTGTCGAAGGAGAAAGTCGATCCCTCTCTAAATATGTGCCTGATGTGTATATGGGTAGACCAGAGAATATTTTTGAGTGCAATGAACAGAAGATTGAAAATGAAATACACTTCTCTGTAGCAATTATTAGTCCTTTTCATTTTTTTTTTGTATTCATTTATCGAACATCAACATTCAAAATTACTATGATCTTAAGTTAAACGTCAACTACTTGGAAAATAAATAAGAACTGAATAGAAATATAATGTTTTTTTTACACTAACCTAATTGTCATAACATGTGTACTTGGTGACCGTCCACGTTGTTTTTCTCTTTACAGAAAGAAAAATATTTTTCTTTTTTTCTCTTTTCTGTTCTCGTCTGCTTTGCGTTTCATCAACGCGAAGGCTTATATCTTATGGTGAAAAAATAAGTGCAAAACTGCCATAAAAAATCATAGTTTTCGTTTGAAATAATAGACATTATTCTGAAGAAATAGTTGAATTGTTCACAATCATTTTTTACAGTTCTGATTATTAAGTTGGTGAAATTTCGAATTTTTTCTTGATTATTTCTCTTGAAAATTGTAATCCTAATATGATTTGTTTATTTTTTGTAGATTTGATAAAAAAAAAAGTATCTTGTCAATGGAAAAATCATCATCGAATAATTCTACGAATAAAAAACGACCATCAACAATAGTACAAACTGATTGTAAAATTTGTGGAGCTCCTGCTAAATATTCATATTTTGGCGTAGTTTCATGTAATTCATGTAAGATGTTTTTCAAACGAAATGCTGAACGTGGAAAAGTCAATTGAAAATATAGATTTTCTATTAACTATATTTACTCATTTTGTTTTGTTTCTAGGAAGTATTGAAATGTCGCTATAGTGATCATTGTGAAATAAACATAACTAATCGCCATGTATGCTCTCATTGTCGATTGATCAAATGTTTAAATAGTGGAATGCGAATTGAATTGATTCGAGCTTCGTTTGCAAAAAGAAACAAACAAAATCCAAAAGAAAAATCAATCAAAGATTCAAAGCAAATAACATCAACTGCTTTATGTAGATTAAATGAACCTGAACAGGTATAAGAACATTTGATTATTATACTTCAGTATATGATCATTGTTTATAATCTTCTAGGCAACAAAAAAAAATTATGATAGCTTTCTTTCCACAATTTCTCGAGAAGTTCAGAAGCTTTCAAATCAGATAGATTTCAGTAAGAAGAACAAACGCTATCGATAGACTTCAACTCCGCAAATATTTTGTAATCAGAGTTATTGAAAGTACAGAAACTATAAAATGATTGAACATTTTTTTCCTATAACAACTACCCAGGTCAAGTAATCAGACAGTAAGATCTTTCAAGAATTTTATTATACGGTCTTGTATACGATTGCAGAGAGGACGATTTTATCTGATCTTACAAGATCTTACGTCTGTTTTTTTTTTTGACCTAGGTAAAAAATCGAATTGGAGAGGAGAAAGTATTTTTTACAATAGAAAAACAAAACACGTTCTAATTTGAAAAATATACAGATAGGACAAAAAAAACTTTACTTCTATGAGTCTTATCACGTTCGAGAAAAAGGGACAAAACTTAAGGTTTCTATTTGAAAAACTTGCATTTTTTTTCTAATGTAAATTAGAAATTTTTCAAATTTTATATGCATGTAAAACGTATTTGTTTCGATTCATAAAAATGAGTTTAATCGATAGAAGACATTTAACTCTAGTGAATAACCATAAAAATTTAAAAACTTTCGAACGATTTCTTTCATTATTGATTTCAATAAGCGAACATTAAGTAAACGAATGATATGAATTTGTTTCCAGTGATATAATTCAAGTTAAATATTAAGTTTTTATTTGAAATTCAACTAGATAAAGTTAGTAGATGATAATTAGAACATCAGTCGATTTGTTCATAATTAAATGATAAACATGTTTGAACCATCTATCTAAAAAGAATCTATATATATATATACCACATAATTTCGAGTGTCTGATATCAGATCAATGGCCTTCAAATGGAATAAAACGTGATCCGAATAAATCTAGAAACTTCGAGAACTCTCTAATACTTTGTAGAATTTTTTGAAATATTCTAGAATATTTCTCGAACCTTATAGAAACACACGGAATTTTGTTTTTTTGAACAGTTCTCTATATTGTTAAGATTTTTTTAGAATATTTCACAACATTTTATTGTAGATATCAAAAAATATCTAATACCTATTTAAGTGTATTTTTCCTAGGAAGTAACTATAGTTGTATGGTTCTTTTTTGGCGTTTAGTTTCGTACTTTGAATCTTTTACAATCAGATCAATCAACATTAAATACTGATCAATGGAATCTAATCTCAAATTTATCGCATTGTTATGATGAATATAGTGGACTATCAATAGGTGAACGTTTTATGCTTGAACAAAATGCTTTACCACTTAAATTACGTTTTAAAAAAGAACCAATAAAAGCATTGATTCAAATGGCATTAGATAAATGTCAATCATTATACAAAAACAATCAAGATTTTACTTCTTTATCTACAGATGATCGTTCTATTTTACTACATGCTACATTTAAACATGTAGCAAGTCTTTCATCGAACTTCATCATCTATAAAATTCAATTAATGAATTATTCTGTTTATTTCAATGTTGTTGAAATGATTACTCATCCAACTGCATTACCTGTTGCTAAGCGTTTAGCAGATCGACTTGATTTTGATATGATCATTATGAAATTATTTCTTGCTATTCTTTCATTTTCAACAATTCACTATACAGTTTATTCAAATACTCCTCCAGTAAATTTATCAAATATCAAAGAAATCTTTCGTATTCAAGATACATATATTGAAATAGCATGGCGATATTTACTTTACAAATATGATTTTGAACGTGCTGTTCTATGTTTATCTGATCTTATTAGATGTGTCTTTGTTATTGATGAAGGTGTTGTTAAAACACACAATGTTCAATGGCTTACAGATACAATCTCGTCGATTGTTACTCAAACTGAAAATACTCTTACTCTCAATTAATTAAATGTTTTTGTATTGTGTTATATTAACTGTATCAGTATGATATTGAGTGTTTATGCTGTAGATTTTAATGAATACTAAGATGAAAAATATTTGAAAAACAAAACTTTCGAAGTATCTGAATTCTCGAATAATTATTTTTGCTTTTTTGACTTGTTCAAGTATTATTAAAAATTGTTTAAAAAAAACATGAAAATATTCTAAAACATCTCTGCAATATAGATTTTATAATTAAACTCCAAGACAAAATTTTATTACTTATGATTTGCATGTTATCACATCTTCAAGAATTTAGATTACAGTTTAGTCTTACAAGTGAGACTTTCTTTTTATCTTTTCAGAAAACTATCAACATCGAGCTGACAAAAAAAAAATAGTAAAATGATTTTTATGAAAATTATCATAAAATTAGCAAACAAGTAAATCATTTCTCATTCAATTTTGATTAAAGACTCTATTTGATCGATTTCATGCTTTCAAATATCTCTTCGATTTAATACGAGCAGCACACCTAACTTTCTTGCAAATCGTCAAAAGCTTAGAGTTTAAGATACTAATTATATATCACTCTTTGTTTAGAAATCTTTTCAAAACATCGAGATTTGAGAGTTTTGATCTAGAGACAACAGTCATAAATTCTCAACTAACCTGACGTTCGTGCCACTAAACCTTCTGGTAATCATTTTTTGCAGATGTGGTTCATAAATTGCCTTGCTAACCCTAATCCTCCACAGTGCTTTGTTCTTAGATTTCAAAAATCGTATATTAGAAATTTGAACGATATGTTGACAAACGACTGGTATTGGAATAATATGTTCTTTTTATGAAACTCATGATATTTTTGGAGATGTACCACTCTTGCTTAATGCAGAGAACTACCTTCTATTGTTTGAAAATAGTTCTCAAGCGATTGCTCGTGAAACTGTAAGAAACAGGTCTATTCTGTTGTAATGAAAATATTATCATTAGCAATCATATCTACATATTCACTACGGTAATTTATAAAAAGAAAACGCGGTTCATATTATGTAAGTAAAATTAGACATTCATATTTCAAGTTTGATCATAGTAATTGTAAATTATGACTCATATCAAATTGATTGTTTTTTTTTGTATTATATGAACTCAAAAAATATTCAAAAGGAGATTCTTTTTAACAAGGGTTGTACCTATTCAGAAACTTCTTGAAGGTCAACAATCTAGAACAAAGTATTTTAAACTATCATACGATAATTTTTTCATTGAATATAGTGAATTATGTAAAGAATGATCGCTTTTTTTTCTGTTGCATGCATCAACATACGGATCCATAACACTTAATTCTTTTGAAATCTATCAAATTTATTTAAATAAGAGATATTTCTTTCAATAGTACATCATGCCTTCGAGCTATCTTCGAAGACAGTTATCATCTTGAAAAATCATTTTACACTTCGCTCTAGTCTTCCACCTCCATCATTCCATCATCTTCTTATTTTTGATATTGTTTGTCTTTGAATGTCAGACAAACATTGATTTTTATTTTGGTACATCATCATTTGTAAAAGGTTAAAATACAGTGTAGAAAATTTCTTTCTATTATCAATCGCGGTAGCTGTTTTTTTTCTTTACACTATAAGAGTGCACGAGCTTTTAAAAAATTTCGGTAGAGAAATTCCTGAGACATGCCTCTACTTGTTATAAGAGAATCATTGCACACAACGAGTGATTATTTTTGCGTTGGGCGCATCTTTCTTATTATATGCAATTCAAAGTTAATTGTAAGTCATTCAAATATTCATTTCAACGATGGCAGATAATACATTGTGATGAATGTTCTGAAGACGCATTAAAGTTTTCAACAAGCTATTTTTAAATATTAAATCTTTAATAAATTTTCTAAGAGTAATTAGTATTATTCATTGCAAAGTTTTCAATTTCGCCTATAAAATGAGTGTTATAATAATACATTATATTCCGAAGTCAGCTTCTATAGGATCAAATAAGTAATTACAAACAGAAGAGATACGATTTTCCGTTCGTAGGAGCTTGTTCAATCGATGAAAGAAGAACATGCATATGATAAAAGGATAAGTGGTCATTAATTTATCGCTTGTGAATTCATATCGAGCGTCTTGTATGATATTTAGACTTACTTTCGACATGCAATCAGTTGGATTGTTACTTTAAGAATACGGATGAAATATTCGAAAACAACTAGATATGAAACAAGGAGAGTAGGTCGTTGTAATTAAATATATAAATATGTTTTTCAAGCTTGTCACTTACAAAATGACTACTAGTTGTTAAGTGACACGAACTAATATTTTGGTTTTTCTCTTCTTGATCTTAGCTTGACAGATTTTGGAAGGAAAACAAGTATTATATCACATATTTTCTTACTGAACTATTCTATCCAGACGTAATTCTTTATCAAATTCGTCAATCCAAGAAAATAACTATACTAAGGGGTACATCGTGTGTCGTGTAACATATGCAATAAGAGAAGATTGTAAGTATGAGTGTTAACTACAATTATTGATATTAAATTAGTTACTTCTGAATAGATCTTGTTTCAATTACATTAATTTAAAAACAAGAAATACAAATGAATGAGAATAATGAACAAGAGAAAGTAGTTTAACAGAAGAACAAAACATTCTATCTTTTTGAAAAACAGTTTATTCATTTCCGTACACAAATAGCTAAATACTACCTTCAAACACTCGTCCTTGATATGCTCTAGAAAGATGAAAGGCTTTGATTGATGAATCTAGCCATGACATCCGATCTGTCCTACATATATTTTCGAAATAAATATAACTGAACTGGTATTTTTCTCTGATCATCTCTCCATAACGGAAATAAAGTTAGTCAGTAATGTCAAATATTTATTAAATAATATTATAGTTTGTATATTTACAAAAGATTTACAACAATTAAGTGTTTGATTGAAAAGTTTTTCAGAGTCCATGTAATTGAGAAAATTACACATGATGAACGTTTGAGATGATACGTTTAAGTTCTATACGAAAAGTTTTCGATACAAGTATATTAATGTAACAACCAATACTATTTTCAATAAAAAAGACAAAGTATGTCATTTGAAGAATTGATTGTTCTATTATTTGTTGTTCTGCACTCTTATTTTCATGTTCCGTACTTTGTTGATAGATATAGAAGATTGTTACTGGACATTTACAAATAACAAAAGTAATGATATTCACAAGTAACATTCGAATAATTTGTTGATCTTTAGATTGAAGAGCATAAGGTCTACCAATTGTTGTAGTTCCAGTATTTGTTGAGTTAGAATGATTTCTTCTACGGTGCACTTGACGAATATTTTTCACTGTCCAAAATCCAAATATTATCATTAGTAACGGTGGAAGAGCACCATTGATTACAAGTGAATTATAAGTCATAAATGTAGTGTATCTACCTGGTTGATAGAAACAAACATAATAATTAGGTGCAATTTGAAAAATTTCCATCAAGATCAATGCATGGATATGAAATAATACCCAAAATAAACTTATACTAATTATACTTGTAGCTGCCAAACGACGTGTACTACATTTTCGTGTTCTAGCATTTGATGAAGTGATTAATATCCGATCGATTGATGCCAAAATGAGATAAGACGATTCCCAACAAGCTAGAACCAAGGCAATATAATAACGAAATCGACAGAAAATGATATTGTTTGAACTAGGATCAATATCATAACCAGCTGCTAATGTTGTAAAAAGAAGACCCAAATAAAGATATAAGAAATTGATTATATTCACAGATATAAAATAGATGGTACATGGATTTTTTCGTAGAGTATCTTTCTTGAATACCAACAAATTTAATATACAACTGATACTACCAATAGCTATTAATAATGGGCCACCAAATCGAAATAAATTCCGTTGAATGATATACAACAATGTTAATGTAGACATTAAGATTTAGTTTGGGAGTAGAAAAGTAGAGCGCAATTTGAAATGAAAATAACATTTATTTTATTTGCTTATATAAAACACCTCGGCTGATAATTAGAAGTATTGTGAGCAAGATCTGACAAAAGACTATAATGATGTTCAATGCTTTGAAGTATCATACATGGGGTGTTTGAAAGGATCTACTGAAGCATATAGTGTGAGGTGTAAAAATAACCAGGATATGTATAGCAAAAATTAGATCAAACTATTCTGCGTATAATCTCAGTCATGCTGTTACTTCTACAGTTATAGAATTAGTGTACTTCTCGTGACTCTGCTTCCTAAACATGTCGATGTTGATGTAACTTTTTCTGTAAATATCGATTTCTGTGAAGGTTTCTCATCAACAATGATATAAGAATAGAAAAGCTAGTATATACATATTCAGTATCATCATTCAGAAACTGAAAGACAGACGAAAGAACTCAAAAATAATATCTATTGTTATATTTGCTAATTGTTGTTATTTCAAACTGAGAAACATCATTGATACACATAAATGAAATGAAGCAACTTTTATGTATGATCCAACATATCCCTATATGAAAACAATTTTCAAATATAAGATAATTAACATGATTAAATTCTTAATTCTTGCTTCTTTCAGCAAGAACAAAATCTTGAGTGTGGATGACAGTGTGGACGTCGAATATGAGAGAGATGATTTACCAGCACTAACACTCACATCGTCGATGATGTATGTCAGAATAGCGGGATTAAGCTATCTGCCATAATATTTGAAAGTTTTCTTTGTTTTTTCGTTCGTCAGCAGCAAATACAACTTGGACTAAAGCTGCAGTTAGAGTTAACTGTCCATCTTATTCTAATTCCAAGTCAACTTAAAATTGACTTTCCGACGCGAGAAATCCTTCCACTTAATGTTTGGAATCTGTTTGCATCTCTAACCGATGGTTAATGTTTAATGCGACCATTACTAGCTATGGGGTGTTGTTTTCAATAGCAAACAGAATAGTAAAAGAACTTCTATGTTGAATTCAACTGGTGAATACGAGAAATGATGACTTATCGAAC